ATGCACTTGCAGTGGGTGGCTTTTTCTTATCGCTGTGACAAAAGAACGGTGAGAATCACTACCATGACTGGGTTGCAGAAAAAGCACCGGTTCATTGAGACGATGCAAACACCCCCCCCCCCCCCCCCCCCAAATATTGTTCGAGTCTATTTATGTACCTTTTGCTAGAGAAATAATGAGGCATTCAGGAAGTCTGTTCTATTTATCCCAAAACGAAAACAGTTGCTGTTGACACTGCGTGCAAGGATCAAATTTCATTCATAACCTTAGCACATCCTCCTTCACTCTGGACTAGTATAGTAAAGTCGGAAATGAGTTTTCCAGAAAGAAGCGCCTTTTTTCGGATTTGGCACCTTTGAAATTCCAGTTGATCTACGGGAATGAATTTTGCGATGGGAATTTCGGATATAAAAGAAATACTTACTGGAATTGAGTTTCAACTTTTCCAAACATTTACGCCTTTAAAGCTTTGGGAGTCCGATTACAATTTTATGGAAACGAAAAAAAGTACTAGAAAAAATGCAAGAAGAAAAGATAGATAGAGTTCGATGATATGAAAATAAGAAGCACATTTATTCTTACTGGTTTCTTTTCCATTAGAGAGAAAGGAGGAAAGATCAGGAAAATTGAGAATCTTTCTTATTATTATGGCAGAAACATGTTTCCTTACATGAAAGAACATCAAGCCAACTCTAACAATTTCTCATAGAAAAAGAAAAGAATTTTCGATATTTGAATTTACTTGACTATTACATGCTCGTTATGCACAAACTCGCTTTCAAACTCGTTTGCGAAAAGAAAACATGGCATTCAGGTGAAATGCTGAAATTGTCATTGATTCAAACCAAAGAGTGAAATCAGATGACACCATGCATGGAGATGTTAATAGGCTTAAGAATGGTTACTTTTTAGTCATATTAGGTTGTTACATAAGTCTTGTTACACTTTAACCTCTTACGGCAATAAGTCATGCAACTCATATTCTTTACAGGGCTCCTGGGTACCGTTCGATAGAGCAAAGCAAGCTCTACAAGATAGTATGCAAAAGTTCGCGCCCGCTTCGATCCACCATGAGTTTGCAACCGAAATCTGAGTGACACTGAAGGCTCGAAAAATCGCGAAAATTTCATATCTTTGTTCAAACAAATCCTACGAATCTCCAACTTGCTCACAAAAATGCACACTATATCAGGTACTCATATGTCCGTTGCTGTATTTTTTCCTCATCTAGAAATCGAGAAAACGAAAATTTTCAAGTTTTCACAAAAACGAAGCTATGCTGTTTCTATTCATGCAGCTGTACACTACAAGCCCTTTGAAGTATAACCGTAAATTTTCAGCTTTCCAGAAGTCCTGGTTTTCGAAAAATACCTAAATTCGCATTGAAGACCCGACTGAAAAAAGCTAAATTTGGTATTTTTCGAAAACCAGGACTTCTGGAAAGCTGAAAATTTACGGTTATACTTCAAAGGGCTTGTAGTGTACAGCTGCATGAATAGAAACAGCATAGCTTCGTTTTTGTGAAAACTTGAAAATTTTCGTTTTCTCGATTTCTAGATGAGGAAAAAATACAGCAACGGACATATGAGTACCTGATATAGTGTGCATTTTTGTGAGCAAGTTGGAGATTCGTAGGATTTGTTTGAACAAAGATATGAAATTTTCGCGATTTTTCGAGCCTTCAGTGCCACTCAGATTTCGGTTGCAAACTCATGGTGGATCGAAGCGGGCGCGAATTTTTGCATACTATCTTGTAGAGCTTGCTTTGCTCTATCGAACGGTACCCAGGAGCCCTGTAAAGAATATGAGTTGCATGACTTATTGCCGTAAGAAGTTAAAGTGTAACAAGACTTATGTAACAACCTAATACTTAGTTGGCAGTGTCTGTTTACTATCCTTCTTGACTTTTTAGAGGACAGCAAGTAATGTAAGAGAATTAATGGAAGGCAAACAGTATGCAAAGAACTTCTTTGGAGTTAGTTGAAATGCATGTGGATGTCTCGTCTCACGAATGACATTGCTGAAATCGCGGACAAATTACTTTGCATCTCAAGTCCATTCAAATTTTTACAGACATTGTACTTGCTTAGAGTCCACTTGACACTAGAAGTTGCTCTTAGAATTGCTTCTTACACAATGCAGCTCTTCAAAGGCTGTGGTACACTATGTTCATTTTAAATTCCCACGCACAGATGTTGAGAAGACCATTCAAAATTCTATTTTTATCTGTCGGATGTCTGTGAAACTCCAACCACATTGTCCAAAAAAAAATACAAGAACAATAGAGCAAATGGCCTTAGCATAGAATGACCATGATTATTCCAGTGAATAGAAGGAATAGAAGCCGTTGCGTGAGCAAATAGAAAAGGTGCCGGACCCGATATTTGGTCTTCGAAGTGCACGAAGTCACTTATATGCTTTGCTGTGTGAGAAACAAACATAATAATCGTTCGAAGAAATTTAGAGCTTGAGAACAAGCAAACTTTTCAGTGAGGACCTTGCACAAAACAATAGAGAGTTGTGAGATTAATATGTTTTCAAAGGGCTTATGAACTACACTATAAAATAATGGATCCTATACTTTGTTTTCTTCTAAGTTTTTTATGAATTTGTCATTTACTAGTGCTTGTGTTATTTAACAAAATTGGAGAGTCAAGAGAAAATACCTGTTTCATCTATTTGTGGAAAATGACAAATATCGAGCTTTTTTTAAATAACAACTACAACGCATCCCTGCTCTTTTTTTTCACAGATTCTTCTCACACACCCGAAATAGCCAATTCTAGCCCACTAGAAGATTTGTAGACGTACACTCCTTTGAGCTTGCAAAAAATAGAAGTTTGGGGATTTCAAGGAAGAGAAGAGTGAGTACTACTTGAAAGTGCGGGGTTATACTTCCATTGCAAGTAAGTCAATTTCGTACAATTTGTCTTCATATTGTAGAGACGACCAAGGTCACAGTAAAAAGTGTTTGGAAGAAAAACTATGGAGAATTCCAAACAACCACACACGTGGTCAAACAAAAAAAACTCCCAATTTTTCAACAATGGCTTCAAATAAACAACTTTATTAGACAGTCTTAGCTTTTTGCACGGACATTAATGGACATTAAATGCTATCAATTCATAAACTCTGCAATAAAAACAGCATTTGGTCTCCTCTTTCACTGCTTTGCCTGAATCAGAGAACGTGAGTGTTGCACTAAGCTGAGAAATTAAAGATAAATTTGCATGAGTGTGATTCGAGCCTTATCTATAGCGTAAAATTAATGAAATTACAGAAAAAAGGTTCCATTTCTCAATCCTCTAGTTTGTCACCTAAGTCCACATTACTTTGCTGCTGAGTAAATTACAAAGCACCCTTTACTAACCAAACCAGCCAATTAATTTTGAAAATACTTATTATTTTTTAATAGTGTAATGTTGCTTAGGAACTACTATTAATGTTAATAGTAGTTCCTAAGCAAATATTGAGGCCCCCACCACTGCCAGGATGCTATTGGTCGGGTTATTGTTAACATTATGGGCAGCGGGTTATTTACTTATTTTAGGTTCGATAAATTTTGTTTATAATAATTAATAAATTATTATTGCTTTGTTGGGGATAATTTTAGCCTCGTTTAGTTGTGTATTTCAAAGTGATGCTGAATCATTGGCTGCCGTATTCATCTGTCACAAACATAAGATTTCTTATTAACAAAAAAAATCATAAAAACTTTTTTACTGTCTTTTAAAAATCAATAGAAAATAATAATACAAAATTTTGTTCCTAGTGTTGCTGCTATGTTGAAGAAGATATTAACAAAAGTTGTAGATTTGAGACCTTTCACAAATAGGCTTTTCAATAATAAGGGACAGCGGGCTATTTACGTATTTTAGGTGAAGTCGTGCTTGTAATTAACCCTTTTACAGGAAGAGTACTCTAAATTTTGAAGAATTTCACGTTTGTCATATGAAAAAGTGCGAAGATCCACTTATTGGCATGATTATACATCCTCTCTGGCTTGCCACCCTTTCTATAGCAGCTTTGCCAGATATTGTCTTTTCTTCGCTTCCTTTCGATTTGATAAACTTGGTAATATCTTCACTATCCTATCTTACGATACGTGATCATTATGGAGCTACAGTTATAAAAGTTATACATTTCTCAAAAACCAAGTCGAATTTTTTTCAAAGTTTTCTCTTGAAATTTAATTTTCGCATGTTTCAATGTTGTAACAATATTTTCGTAAAAAACCCCTTTTTAGTTTATTAGCTCCCAGGTACATCAAAACAATAAAAAATGACACTTTTTCACTGAATTCGTCAACCAGAGTGATATATTATGGAAATCTGAATGTGGAAAATGTATTATACATGTATAATATAATTTTAGAAATTCTTGGAAAAAAGTCGAGTTTTTGCAAGTGCTGCATTATTTCCCGTTTCATGTTGAGCAGATAACAAACTTGCTGCATTTCACCTTGGTAATTGTATGCAACGAGTCAGAAGAGCAATAGATCATGTGTTTATACCCTGGGATATGGTCTCTGTATGGTTGAAGAAGAAAAGGTAAGAATATGTGCTCCGAAGCATGGTCTTGAATAAACTACAATTTGAGCTTTTTGCTTCACACAAAGTATATTGACATCATCATTCTCCGGCTTGCTTTCCTCTCCAGTCGGCTTAACTTGTAGTGTCGTCGAGTAACTCGATTGTTTCGACAATTTTGCGTGGTCCAAGCCTCGTGCACCCGAACTTATTTGGTTCTTTCTCACACTCTTTTCACTATTACTACCCTATCCCAAGCTCAATTTCGCCATACCAGCTACCAGTAACCATCACCTCAAACTTTTTTCCTTGTTTTTCTTCTTCGAATTCTCCAACTTCCTCTAAGCGACCCGAAAAATCCACGCATTCACGTTATGCAATAAAACCATTCCATTCGCGAATTTCGTCTCATTCCTTTCTTCGAAATTGAGTTTGCTTTCGCAAAGACGATGCCGTTCAGCCACATCTTGCATGACCTCGCATCTGAATGTACTTATGGATGCACCAACGGTACGTACACGGCTCATTACTTCAACGTCAGGTCCACAACATAACGACTATTTCTTTATTTATGTTTCCACCATTGTTACGGTTAGTTCCTCGGAACTTTACACTAGTTTCTATCCAAACAGCTTACGTCAGTGATTTGGTAGGAATGACAAAGCCGCTAAAACCAGAGACATAAATCTCGCAACGGACATAAATATTCCAGTAATTCTCTCCTCCTGCTTTGTTCTAATTATACCTCTAAGCATATTCATCAGTTTCCTCAAACATTCGTCAAATTGATGCAAAATGTAAGGTTTTTAGGTGTCACCAATTTTGACCAACTTCGGTTAAATTACCGAGCCATGCTCAAAAAAACTCTTTAGTCCTTCATTATTGGAAACTCTCATTTGTTACAAGTAGAGACCGAAAATCTTCAAACAAATCTTCCAAATTTCATCAGTCAATCGTCTCATTTCCTTCCTGACCAGCACTGCAGTGTCCTAAGCTCTTGATGCCATCCACTTGTTTCTGTTCCTCTTGTTTTTTTTTCTGTCAAGGAAGATACGTGCACTAGCACTGAAGATGTTTATGATTCGGATTCTCATAGTTTACATAATGTGCAAGAATGGCCAAGAAACATGTCGGTCAGTCGTGGAAAAGGGCTTCCGATTATGTACAGATTAACATAAATTCATCACAGGAAGATTCATTGTGCATTTGTAAAACAAATTCTTGAATTCCAATGAAATATCAGATTATCTTGACCTTGAAAAAATTGCAAATATTTATCCACAAAACTGTGGAGCTTTTGTTGAACTTTCTCATTTTTCAATTTCGAGTATTTTTCTCTGATACCACTACTTACTCTGTCATTCTAATTATGAATACCGAAAACAACATTGCTTATTCGTACAAAACCTTTGCAAAAATTTTGCGCTTTGTCCCACGCATTCAATTTTAGTACGTTGACCTTTAAATCTAATTTTAACACCTAAAGCTGCAGTTATACGGTGCGCAAATTGGCTCGAGCGTTGCACAGAATTTTATTTAGACTGCATTCTACGTGATTCAGAAATTTAATGGTAGGACTATACCAATTAATTCAAATTACTGAGGTAGAGGTACTGATATGGTATGTGCACCAAAATTTTTCCTAGCGCAAACCGCAACGCAGCTCATTTGCTGCCTTTGAGGCGCTGGTACAGGGAACAAAGCCTGCCTTTGCCCAACGCACTGCGGGAAATAAACCATATTTAATAAATGATTTTCTTATTGTGTTACTGCGTTACGCACTACCACTAGGGCCCGGCACAAGTCGGTTTCTAGGGTTTCTGAAAACGAAGTCTCCCCTGACTTTCGGAAGTTTTACGAAGTCCCCTTTGACCTACCTGCTTAGGAGAAGATGAAAGAAAGATCTACTAGTCTGAAAGAAAAGACGTAAGATATGAGTGAAAATCCAAATTAGAGCTGAATACTATGCATGCACAAGACTTTGGCAGTAGAGCGCGATATTTAACAAAACGAGAAGAAATGAAGGCGAAAAAACAAAGGAAAGGCAATGATATGAAAGGTCTTCATGCTCAGGGATAGATTTTTGACCGGAGAATCCTTCCATGCTAAAATGATCCGAAACTTATGTGAAGTGACGAAAATATATGCTCCAGACGATCTCAGATAGTCTGGTGGCCGTCTGGATACGATCTAATTTTGGAAAAGGTATCACTTCACATAAGTTTTCAAATATTTTCACATAATACTTTTGCAAATAATTTTGTATACATACACTTCAATTTTGGTGTCATATGCTTCTGTGTGCGCTGTAAACAAGCAATTTGTTAATTTAAGCCTTGCTTTCAAATCGCGCGCACTTTACGCCGTACACGATAAAGCATGTCAATCGTGTGATAACCTGTCCGAAAAGCTTGTGTTCAACTAAATGGCGCTTATTCTTGGTGCTCGGTTCCGACTCGTCAAAAACGATATCCCCTTTGCTGTTTGCTTCAAAAACGAAGCCCAGCCTGCTTCCAGACAATCTGTGCCGGGCCCTGACTTCCACTCATAAGCATGATTTCAGTTCAATCCAAAATGGGCAGAGCAATTTATACTGCCTGCAAAAGTTTTAGAAGCCTCACAAATGCTATCTATTCCCAAGCTTTATGGCTGGATCAAGAGCTTTCCAGTTTGAAATTGCAGATTTAAATTTTTTTTGTACTTTGCAGGTAACTGTTCTCCTGTCATCGGCTTTTCTGGTGTGGCGATGGGGTCTACAAGGCTTTGGTACACATCTCTCAGTTGCATTAGCTATCGCACTCTTGATTTTCAATGCATATCTTGGGGCTAAAGCATGGTCCGACCTTCACCAAGAGAATGAAGTTTTTCTGAAGCATCAACGCGTAAGGTTTTACTTTTTATTTGTTTGCTCAGTCGACCAAAACGGCTTTTCTGCATTCCGTACATTTATTTCGCTGTGTGTTAGGCTATCAAAGCTTGTAGTCAGAAGCAGGAAAAACGTGGCAGGAAAAATCGGTATAGATTATTTTTTGTTGTCGAAATTCCTTTTAAATTCAACAACAAGTCGGAACACTTCTCTTGCTTTTATCTATGCCTCAAAAAAAAATTTCTTTTCTCATTTCCACTCAGCGGAATTTGGTTACAGATAGAAGGTTTCAAAATTCAGAAAAGAAATCAAAGAATGTTTCTATGGCCCTCTTATTTAGCAAGATCGGGAATTCTACAAGCCATCCTGCTTTTCTATTTACCATTTATAGTCAAGAAATGTAAATTAGCTTAACACGTTGACGACCGAGCCATTTTTGACCACCTCAAAATGGACTGATGATCTACGGCTGCGGTTTGGGCTGTTTAACAGCCACCGCAATGCCGTGTGTTCTATATGACAACCAGGCCACCAGTGTTATTACTGCATAGAAGTTACCTGAGAAATTTTCGTTTACACATGATAAATTGATGCACGAAAGTGCTACAAGGTGGTCAGGGCGTGCATACGCGCGGATACACACGGTCGTCAACGTGTTAATTTCTATATTTCAGCGACCTATGCCGCAAATTCGGCCGACGAACAAATTTTGTCGCGACTTGGCTAGCCCAGTCTGGATAGAACGGAATATCTACTACGAAGACGAAAGAAATGGCAAAGTTCCAGCTTCTGCTTGACAAATAACGTTACTACTTTGAAGTTGTAACGATCAGAAGACAGATTTTCTGTCAATCAAGTGCTACAGAAACATTAACTTATTGAGCTATTCAGCCGAATGTTCATGAGATGTACCGAAAGACAAGCCTTATAGTCTTTATACATGAAGGATTTTACAATAAAAATTCTTTGAGAATTTTTCTTTTACAGCGCTTAAAGACAATACTGTACAATATAAATGCATTCTTGAGCAACCGTTCATCATGCTAACCGTTCGTAATTCATACTAATTTGAGCACACAATTACTTACATACACCTGCCATGCAAGGAGAAATCGAGGTATATATCATGCTGAGTTTCTACACACGATTCTTATGCTAGATATAATTCCGTAAGTAACTGCAGACGTCTCTGGTCATATCTCGTTTGACCAAGCTGTACGGCATATTACAGACACCGTGGAATGCTGTCTTGTAATGTTTCCACGAGCAGAGTCGTCCATGTTCTTGCAATCGTTTCGCATATTCAATTCCTTCATCTCTGCAAGAAAATACCATTTTGAATCTTTATTTTCCTTCATAAAGATATTGGCTAAGAACCTTCATAGTAAACAGTTATCGTGGAGCCGCTAACCGCACGGACTGGCCGTAGTTGCGGAGCACGCGCCGCTGGGCAAACGCTTGTACCGGTACCAATCGCTATTGCACAAATCGTACTCTCGTAAATTTCAAGCGCCCCGCGCGTGCTCCGCAATTTACGGCCACTCTCTGCTCTCGACGAATCGACTCTAGATATTATAAAATTATCCGCCAAACTATCAAATTATCTGCTCCTAAGCGAGCAGGAAACCGGAACGTAAGAAAACAATGCAGACAACTTCAAAAGTTCTGACTTTTCCGTTTTACATTGCTTTTATCGAGAAAAGGTAACCGTACAGAAGATGAAATAAGACATGAGCAAAAAGGTAACAAAACAGCTTCTTGATCCCCTTTCTCTTACCCGCAACCCCTCCCGCCCCCCCCCCCCCTACTTTCAACATTCTTGATAATAACTCACCTTAAAACGTCGTATTCCGCAGTAAGTACGAAAGCAGGTGGAAGATCTTTAGTAACTCCAAAAAGCGGACACACATCTGGATCAGTTCCCTTCGTTGCAAATGTTCGCAGTAATTTCTCATCTTCCTATAAAAAATTTTTTTAGCGATTCGTAGAACCGATTCTGACATCCAAGTTTCCATCAAAATACAAAGAACTAACATATTCGTCGTAATCCTCGGACAAGGTCTTTGGGTTTTTCTGGAAGCCAGGAATCGAAGTGCCGACTAGACTTTGGATTTCAGGAGTAGAGTACAATTTTCTGCAAAAGAACCGTTCTTCGTCCATTTGAACTCCATAGGAATTTGTAAAGTAAGCTACCGAGATATATGTTGATTAGTTGTGAGTTTTTCGACGTTCTTCCTGTTAGCAGGAAGTCCGAGATAAAGCAAAATCCATCGTGCCATAGCACGAGGGTTTAGCAGTGAAGTACCATTGTACCTAAAAAGTTTGGTTAAAAAAAACTAGAGGTACTGTGGAATCTTACTTCTGATAGTAGTCTAAGTAAGATGAGGACTGGAATGAGAAAACGTGGATTACCGGATAGATGAGAACTTGGCACTGAAATACTTGACTCAGAAATGTTCGCATTATTCTAATATTTTCTGTCACCTTCAAGAAATTTTCATTTCTCTTAGCCAATCGTTGTGTGATTACCGCTGCGATATTTCCACCTGCACTGTCTCCAGCGATACAGATCTTATCGCGATCGATATCAAATCGTGTATAGCTGAAAAGAATAGGAAATATAACTTTGCACTCAAATTAGACTAGATAAAATATAGCAACCTGTTATGATACAATTCGTTGACAACCGCTTCGCAATCGTCAACCGGATATGGGTACGGATATTCAGGTGCTAGTCGATAGTCAATTGAAAAGATAGTTATGCCTAATCGACGCACAAAACCGCACATCAAGTCATCGTAACAGCCTACAAAATTATTTTAATTCTCTTTCTTTTTTTGTAACCTGATTCATTACCGTACCTGCCCTCATCGTGCACCATCCTCCGCCGTGGATAAAAATTAGTGCTGCATTAGTTTTTTTCTCCTTAGGAGTATACACTCGTACTTTTGTACCGCCAATTGATTCATTATGAATCTTAAAATAAGAATTTACATTTTACAAATTTACAGCATTTATTTTCATCTTAGCCTTGGTGTAAAAACTTCCAATTTGTAGAGCTACTATTGGTGACCACTTTTCACAAAAATTTTCGTTGGGTCGCTAATGCGTAAAAAATCCAAAAATAACAAAAATTTTCTGGGATCTTGGAGAGAATAACAATGATTATGAGTGAGTAGAGGTTCTACTTCCAGACAAAAGTAACCCAAACTGCTTTTCTATAGGCTTGGTTGAAAACGATTAAGATCAATTTTATTGTTTCATGGTATGTCTTATATACTAAACTTATAGCCTGATTCTACCGTACACCTATAGCGACATGTTATACCTACCTTTACATAATCAGGAGCTGGCCATGGGATAATGAAACCAATCTCTATTAATAATCTTATGTACTGATTTCGTATCCTAGGTCCAAACACAAATTCGATGAGATCACCCTAAAACTAATGCAGTTTTTTAAGGAATTTAAAAATTCGTACTTACCGGGTACTCGTAAATAATACGTAATAAGTACTCCATAACTTGTAATTTCTTTCGATCAGCTATATCAGCCGGAAGTGGTATGTACAAAAGAAATATAGTAGTGATGAAGAAGAGAGCGACGGTTGCCCAGTACAGCAACACCCACATTCTTCCAGTGTTAGTGTGTCTAAAAAAATAAATCAAATTCAAAACCGCTTTAATAAATGATTGAGCATAATTAGTGCTGCTGAACATTTAGGACTTTGAAAAGGAGGAAGCGACTAGCGTACAACATTTCTCACGACAAGGTCGAAAGTGATAAACAAGCTTAGATAACGATGCTAACGAGGACGAAGCACTGATACCGTTACGATCTCTGTGCTTACTGAACTGGAGTCGAATTGAAAAGTTACAAACTCTGTGATACGCTGTTGATTCCGTGTCAGGGTCATTTCTATTATCGTTAAGGTCAAAAGATAAAGAAATAGAGAAAAGCGCACAAGCCAGCCGCTAAGAATAGGTACACTACTAGGTACCGGCACAATATGAAAAGTCTTGGAAAACTGGCGCTGATGTTATGGAATGGGAACTGAAACTATATTCAAGAAAAATTTCAGCTTTTCAGGGCTGATAATTTGGCTCGCCTTGCAAGTGCAAGACTTCTAATTTTCTCATATTCAAAAGGAAGAACTGAATAAAAATAACTTCCTTCAGAAACTAATCTTATTCAAGAACAAATTTTGAGCTCGATGTAGAATGATGGCAAAAGCAAGCAATTGTAAGATATTAGAGATTATGACGTAGTCTTTTCTTCTGCTGCGATACTTAATGCCGCCTAATCCCAAATAATTGAGCTATTGGGGCATCATTTACTAGCAAGACTACAAGAACATCGAAATGCTTTTTGTATGTGGATACGAGATCGACTTTACACTGACTTTAAAGTTAGCACAAAGAGAACCCAGCCTTTTTTATCGGACACGGAGCCCCATCAAGTGGTTCCAGAACCAACCGAAAATATCCACTATGTGGATATTTTTGCACAAGAACACTTCAAAAATTATTGTATACAAAAGCTTTGAACGGCTGAATAGTACTAGAGTCTGCACTCTTTTGAATCAGCACAATAGCAAAGGTTCAAAAATCTGAGTAATAGTACTGCTCACGATTTTTCATTTTGAAAACCATTAGCAGATATAGCAATTGCTTCAAAAATCTAGCACAGTATGAACTTACACTCTCTTTAACTCAGAAATTACTTCATACTGGTCGATCGTTTTTAGGTGGAAAATTTTCGCAGCACCAAGCAAATTCACTTTTTTCCAGAAGGTGGATAACAAATAAACTGGCAATGAGGAAGGATATTCTTATGTCAAAGGCAATGCTTTAAAACAATCTAGAGTACGTACCAACTGCCAAATAGCACTCAATCTCTCCGAAGTCCAGTACTTTTACAGAAGGACCTTTATGAACGATTCACACAAAATAAAAACAAAGAGACAATGACAGTGGCATGCCCTAACAAGGGCAGAAACGAACTGAAACAGCTAGCTGGGTAGATGAGTACTTTGGACCATATAGATCGAGACTAAGAGCGGGAAATTTCCAGAGTCGTCAAAAAAACCTCCTAGGCAACGATCTGATAAGTTAACACCGATCTAGCCCGGTTTGCGGTAAAGCAGTGATTTAATGAAGTTCAGGAAGTATCCTAGATTCTTCAGAGAAGGGAAAATAGCGTAGTATTTGCAAAAGGACATAACGAGGGCATTACGTGGTTGTGCCCTAAATGACCGCTATTGACCTGCTATCCACGAGCATCGATTGATTCCGAACGGTAAACCTGGATACTGGATGCTTACGCTGGGTACCCTAGCTGTTCGGTTAGGTCAGCCGGGTAATGGCTACGGTGATAGTAGGTGCCATGCTTGGAGAATTTCCTTATCTTATCTGGTAAAATTATTTTACAGCGTATAGTTTTTGTGTGTTCTCTACTGCCACAGAATCTAACATCCTAAGTTTTTGCTTGAGCCATCAGTCATTTCCAAAATCCGGAAAAATTTTTCTTTTCTTTTCTCTTTCGCATTCATTAATTGATAACCCTGTAGGAAATGCAATAATATTAGAAAAAAATTTGACGGAGTATCCTGAGAAAAGTGCAGTAATTTGATGTCGACAAATCTTCGAATTGGTGGTAGTGGTCATAAAGTAATAATTCTCATAATCTCGGTTTATCTTCAACATAATACTTCGTTCCAGGCAGGACTAGGATACTATTCAATAAATGATAAGCAAGCTTGAAAATGGTCTCCAAACGTTAGCATAAAGTACCCGCAAAACATTTGCAGAAAAGATCACACTTGCTGTAAGAGACTTCGGAAAGCCGAGCAAGCTATTTTGACCAAAGCTTTCCGATCTTCAATTCTAACCACAGAAAATAATTTAACAGCTGTATCTCTTGAATTTGTGATGTGCATAATAATAGTGAGAGCAAAAGGGAGATACATAGTATTTTTTTTTATTAAGATTCAATTTTTGGCATGGTCGAGTTTTTTAGCTGGTTCCTTTTCATGGCTCGAGTTCATGTGAATATTCTTACCTTAAATATAAAGAAAAAAGAGATCTTAATCAAGAGGGATCAACAATATCGTTTTCTAGTCCAGAAATAAAACAAAAAAACTCTTCGAGTATTTTTTGTGCAACTAATCAGAAGTGAGGACGATTTTGATGGACCTATTTCCTCAAAATTCCAAGAAATGTATATACATTTAGTAGGTTGTCTCAAAAGTAAACTCCATTTTCAAATTACTTGAGCTGTTTTTGTTTTTGTGACAGATTTAGGGTACCATTCGGTAGAGCGTAGCAAGCCCTACAAAAAAACTACCAAAGTTCTAGCTAACTCGTAAACTAGATAAATTTTGGAGCAAAAAAGCACAATTTTTCAGCTACCCTAAAAATTGGATCTTTTTCCAGAAAATTCCTACGGACTTCCAACTTGGTCTTTATATAGTAGACACATAGTAGTACCCAAAAATGTAATTGTTGGATTTTTTCCGGGGCTCAAAATTGAGAAACAAATAGGGTCCCAAAATGCCAAAATGCCACTTTTCGGGTTTTTAATGTAAAACTTGGTATTTCTCGATTATAAGAGCACATGCAGGGGTAAGGTCTTGTAATTATACTTAGTAAGGCTTGTAGTATACAACGACATATGTGGGATGGTCTGAGGGCGGAGTTGGCCATTTTGGACAATTTTTGTTTCTCGCTTTCTATGCTCGGAAAAAATTCGGTAAAGGCATATTTGTGTACTACTACAGGCCTATTGTATAATGACCAAGTTGGAGGTCTGTAGGATTCTTTGTCGCAGAAATCCAATTTTCAGGTGACAAAATTGTTTTCGACTTTGGCTTCAAACTTTACATGGAAGGCGACTTAGGCGGACCCTTGGCGGTCATTTTGTAGAGCTTGATCTGCTCTATCGAATGATACCCTAAATATACTAGGAGAACGAAAACAGCTTGAGTTATTCAAAAAAGGAGTTTACTTTTGGGACAACCTAATACTTTAGAAAGAACAGAACCCTAAGATGTTAACCGATATGATTATCTTAGAGCATGGTGGTATGTTAACCCAAACGTGCACCACAGTGTGAGTGGCAAATTTATGCAGCTGAATGCTTCTATTTACTAATAATTCAACAGATTCGAGAAAGAGAAAATATTATCTGTAATCATAAAAAATGTCTAGTTATTGCACATTGCTTTCATTTTTAGTTTTTTCTTTTTAGTTTCCAGTGACAAGGGTTTATACGGCAAATTGGGTAACTTTAAGATGATAAAAGAGTACTTAATTCATCAATAAACGCAAATAGTATTTGCCGCTAAATTTTTTTGATAAAATTTTTATATTTTAATGGATTATATTAGGTTCCATAAGTCTTTTCATTTTTGAGTTTTCGCTGCAATAACTGTAACATTTCTTATTCTAAATAGACGCCATAAAACCATTCGATAGAGCAAAGCAAGCTCTATAAGATGGCGTTTATGCTTTTGCACCAGCTTCGATCCACCTCAAGTTTGAGACCAAAATCTAGAACGTTTCGGATGTCCAGAAAATTAGAAAAATTTTTATATCTTTATTCAGAGAAGTGCTACAGATTTCTCACTCGCTCACGCATATGCAATCTACATCAGACACTTATATGTGCAGTTGCTGGATTTCTTTGTTAGCTAGGGATCAAGAGAGAATTTCCATGTTTTTACCAAAGTGATGCTTGCTCTTCTTATACTAGCAGTTGTATAATACGAGCCTTCGGAATTGCAATGGTATATTTTCAGCTCTCCATAAGCTCTGGTTTTCAAGAAATGTTGAGTTAAGCGTAAAAAACTTGACTGAGGAAAGCTGAATTCGATATTTCTCAGGAATTAGAGCTTATAGAGAGCTGAAAATTTACGATTGTACTTCTAAGGGCTCATAGTATACAACGGTTAGTATAAGAAGAGCACAGCATCACTTTGATAAAACATGGAAACTCTCGTTTTCTTGATTCCTAGCTAATAAAGAAATCCAGCAACAGCACAAGTGTCTGATGTAGATTGTATATGCGTGAGCGAGTGAGAGATTTGTAGGACATTTCTGAAAGAAGATACAAGAAATTTGCAATTTTCTGGGCATCCAACTCTTTAATTTGATTTCAAACTTAAGATGGATCGAAGCTGGTGCAAAAGCATAAATGCCATCTCATAGAGCTTGCTTCGCTCTATTGAATGGCACCCTGATGTCTATTTAGAATATGAACTCTACAACTTATCAACTTAAAACTTAAAAACTTAAAAATGAAAGACTTATGGGCAACCTAATAGACTTTTACATGTTTGCTACTAATGTAAATTACAGCGGAACACCCTCAACACCATGCCTTTTTGTGTTATGCTCCTGTGGTCGCAAAGACCGCAGTCAAATCTGTCCTCAGAATTTTATAAATGGACGTTATATAGATTGCAGAGAACTGTAAAATTGGCAGAAGAAGATGAAGTGCTATAAAAGATGACAGCAAAAAATATGCGATTACATTTAGTTGATTTCAATGCGGAAATGAGGGTAAAGAATGAAAAAACGATAAGAACGTCACTCCTGTGTGGAGAAAATCTGTTTCTTGTTTAGCTAAAATACACCGATGACTGATCCAAATAGGATTGGTTATTGAACCATTACGAAGATTGATTTTGAAGTAAAAGCGAGAGGCAAAATGCATTGCTCATAAGGAAAAAACATGTGATGGTAAAGAGTCAAAGAATTATAGAGCACATAAGAAGGCATTCACGATGGGTTCAGCACATTTTGAATAAAGGCACAGGCAACACTTGCCGAAACAGGAAGCAAGCTATATCCGGAAAACCGAAATGGAGATTAACTCGGCCTCTTTGAGGGAAGAAAGATTCAAACGAGATATTTCTCGGCTAATTGGGATTTCGTAGCGATGACTAAGCTGATGGAAATGTGGAAGTCAGATAAGGTAGATGGAATGCGCAGAACGAGATAAACTTTTGTAAACGGTCAAACATAGTAGATAGTTGGAGCAAGCACGTATAATCATAGGCCCTCGGCTGTGCCTCTAATCCCTCACTGAAATTCCTGTTCGCGATATAGGGTCGTTGGATGAGCGCAGGCCGAACATCACAACTTGATAGTGAACGTTCAACTAGTTAGGCCCGCAAGTGAGAGATGGGATTTTCATGACGACGTCAGGACGAGTCAGGACGACCTTCGCTGGAGTCACGAACTCATAGATGGGGATGGGAAGAGGTACAGATGCAACTCAGTAGATCGGAGGTTTTTGGATGGGAGGTGATGTCCTAGATAGGCGTTGATGGAATCGATCCGCGGACGGGCTTCGTCGAAATCTCCGGTGTTGGTAGGGGGCTGAAGCTTGCGGCGCGCCAACCGGATGGTTGGCTAGCCGTGGAGAGCGTCACGCGCGGTGCCCAAAAAATGTCCGATGATCCGCGGACGTCGATTCGGCTCTCGAATCCGTCCACTACCTGACATGACACACTGCGCCACAATGGCGCAATACAGCGCAGATACCGCAGCAGAAAGTTGCGAACCCGCTGCAAACCCGTAGGCTGCGCGCACGACACAAAGGAGTTGAGGCCAGTGAACTTCTAGTTCCATCTATGTAAAGCCAAACAGTTTTTGCCGTTCTTCTACCATGCGCCCAAGTTCCCTTCTTCAGTTACAACTCATACTTCTACTATACGACTTCCAAAAGAAGCTCTTCCTAGAAAGTTAATTATTAACGCTGAAACGCACATTTTCACCGCCTGCAGTTCTGCGACTTTTTGTTGACGGCAGTTCGTGCAGACTGAAGTCCGCTTCTGGAGAAGTTCTTGAGATTCCAACTGCGAACTGGTAGTTCTAAGCAAGTAAAGATGAGTCTTGACTGCAGTAAAATCACTGTGAAATTACTACTTACATCAATGGAACGAGAATGATCTCTTTCCGTGACGACTTCGACGGTATTGAATATGCTGTTAGACGACGTGGATTGACCAAGAAATTTTTGTGAGATTTAGAAATGAGTAGGATTCGTCTTTTTGCAACAAATGCATTTCTCCAGATTGGCAATCTCATTTTCTCGTTATTTTGTGAAGGAACATCATACTCCGGTATTCAAATTACCATTAATGCCACAGTAAGCAGTTTACGCTGCCCCGACCCTGAAATCGAAGATACCAAGAAGTTCCATGGATATGTAGATGCGTACACGGTGATACATTGTCCGATTAGGATCATGTGAAAGTGCAGACGGGGACTAAAGATTGCGACATAGATACAAGAGATATTTGAGATGTATGTACGACTTCTTTTCTGACGCTTACCCAAGAAATCTCTCCAGCTCGAGCTCTAACCGACGAGACTATTATGGAAGCAGGTGGCGAAAGAAAACTCGAAATCGCTGTATATACTCTCCGACGTCAAGGTCAGACGCATGCATTAAGACTAGCAAGCTTTCCCACTAAAAGCGACTTTAGATGAGGAAAAGTGTGTTTAAATGGAGAAAAGCGCTCGTCTTCTTTTCGCATGACAATCATGCAGAGAATTAACTCGCTTTTTGCTAATTCGACGAGTTTTTATGTAGCTACCACCAATTTGCTGGCGACGGCAATTTTGCTTTTCGTCCTTGAAATCTTACATAAACTTCGGGAAATCTTTGATGTCTAAATGTTGGGAGCATGCTCGAATAGTACGAAATTATTAATCAACTTCACGGTAATGTGTAATAATCAATTATATCACACTATCAAAACCATTATAAAAATCATAGGCGGTCATTTATGGACGGCCAAACCAATTAAATTTGGTCAAAAAATTGCTATAAGTAAGATTTCATATTTCGATATATGTACCTATTAAGATGTCTCACATCATCTACAAAGCATATCCACATCAGACACAGTTTAAAGGATTCAGGATGTGTATGAAGAGCGCTATATTATCATCAACTTTTGTTTACATTATGATAATGAAACTGAATGACATTCAAACTGGCTGAGATCTCAAGTGGTGGAAGTTAACAACAAAATATCTAAGTTTCAAGTCAATTTTTCAGTGAAACCGAAACGACAATTTTCTGTGAGGGATGAAAATAGCTCAGAACTAAATTGAGGACAATGCTAATCCAAAAACGTCCGAATAGTGCATTATGAGGTGATCGCGCTCGATTTAGATTGTGGTCTCTTCTTATAGATTGGTGTAAGATTGAACACTAGAAATGTACATTTGCAAGTATATGGTTTGATAGCTATATTAGAAGCAGGTATGCTTCAATAATTTCGTACTAGTTCACTGTTAACTCAGCCGTTCACAGAGCGATAAAATTCTTACACTTTATCTCCACAGCTCCGAAAAAATTGGTGACAACATGGTCCAGAAAAATTTTGTCCGTGATTCAGCATGCAGTTGGCAGTAGAGCGTAGAGTAACTTGCTTGACAGGACCGTGTCAAGATGAAACGAAGATTTAAAGGCAATGGCTCGGCAAAATAGACCCGTGTCAGATTTTGGTAGTTGAGTAGTTGACCCTCAAGTACACTAGCCCAAACGCCACTTGCAAGTTCATGCGCTAAGTCCTTAAAAATGCGCTTCAAAACTTCATCGGCCCTACCCACTTCCAATGAGCGCATATTTATGGACTTAGCGCATGGATTGGCAGGTGGAGCTTGGGCTACAGTTTAGTTAGGGGTCTACTACCTAACTCCTCCAAAACCCGAGAAAGGTCCATATTGCCGATCCACTGCCTTCAAACAAAACGAGTTCCCAACAGTGACAGTTTGGGGCCCCTTCGGTTCTGCTTCTCGGATGTGAAAAAGATTCAAATTTTTTGAAGACATGGACCAGCACAATATGGCAATGAGAAAGAAATAGAACCAAAAAACTCACATTTTCAACTCTTCGAAAAAGACAGAGCTATATCCACAAGAGCTTGGCAATAAATACTACTTGAGCGAGTGCTGGCCACCTCTAAGTACGCGGCCTCTGGAAATCGCACTTTGAGTGCAAGCGCCGTGGATTGCTCACTCCGCATGTTTTTCTAGAAATACCCCCAGTTGCACAAAGTGCACTTGCACGTCTAGATGCTCAGAGTTCTACATCGCTTGGCCGCACCAATGAACACTCAAAGCACAAAGTTATTGCAACAAAAAAAATTTATTAAAAATATCTCCAAGTGTCAAACACTTCCTGTTAATTATCACAATTATTCATTACTTCAATGAAAAGCATCAGCTTGATCGATGTTCAGCAAAGGATTTGTGGCTCCGATCCCTGTCGCTTACGATAACGTTGTCAGTCAGTGGCCAATTCACATTAATATCCTTGTCGAATGGATCGATTCCTTGACCATCGAGTTTAGTGACTTTTAAATTTGTAAATACACCTGCTCACCGTATTCTGTTGACGGATTATAAACTCCGGTGCACTTGTAAGTGACATGAGCTCCTTCGGGAGAGAGGCACTAAATAAAGTAGTGAAAATTGGTAAAAAAACATCATGCAATACCTTTTTATCCTCATTTAGGCAAAATAAGTTCATGAAATTTTCAAAACTGGAGCATGCTTGGCAAAAGGAGATCTCGTGTTTGACTGACAACACATCAATAATTTTTCGAAGTTTCAAGCTTGAAAATCTTGAGCTTTTAGGATCTACTTACCGTTTTTGGCAACAATTATTGCATATTCAAATCATACGCTTTTTGTTGCGGAGAGTGAAAGTGTGGTTTTGAAATTGTTAGAATAGTATCATTTAATTTTAATATATTCTTGGAGGCCTCTCTCAGGTCACTTACTTGGAATCCATGAGCAAAGCCGTCAGGAAGCCAGAAAGCGTGTTTGTTAGCACCATTAAGAATCACTCCATGCCACTGTCCGTAGGTAGCACTTCCAGGCCGGACATCCACAGCCACATCAAAAATCTCTCCGGTGATCTCAAAAAAATTTCTAAGTGGAGATAGATGCGAGAAAATTCAGTATTAGTTTACAGCTTAATAGGAATCGCGACTGTGAACATGGTATTGATTATGTGCAGAAGGTACAATGTGATTATTTACTGTTTGTAAACTAACAAATGAAATTTAGCATCTAGAGAGCATCCAAGAACCTAGACGAAAATCACGAGAAAGACAGGAAACTTTTGTTGCAAAAAACTCTTTCTGCATTGGGTTGCTAAATATTTCAGATTTCTCGAGAATTCATAAACATGGGAAAGCTTACCACTGAAACAAGCTTTCCCATTCCTGGTTGTGCGTGAAGGCCTCGCAGAACCCCATACTTTGAGTAGGAATGATTATCCTGAATAAACAGTCTCTTCTCTGTGTAAGCATTTGGTTCACAGTTACAAAGATAAAGCATGGACATTGTAAATAAGGAGAGCAGGTTTAGGCAAGCGTCAGACTTATCCGTTTAGCCGCCTCATGATTGGTCAAATCACTGATATGACCAATCAAGAAGCCCACATTAGACGCCTTTGAGTCGTAGGGAGGGAAGAAGATAAAAGTCTATTCCAATCGGACCAGTTATGCGTAGCCACAGCTATCGCAAGTTTCATATGGGATGCGTTGAAGATTCGACTATACCTGCTGGAACACCTCTTTGAATCCGAGTTCGGTAGCCCATTCTGTTTCGTTGTAAGTCTCAACGAAATATCCGCGATCGTCCGGGAAAACCTACACACATTGATTCCCACACAAAAACTTTATGACTTCCACCAACCTTAGGTTTAATGACTTTGAGATCAGGAATTTTATCAACAGTCTCGATTTCAACTTTGACGCGCTTTGTCACGTTAGGGACAGACATGTAGAAGCTTCTTTTCCTGCAGAGACTAGTCAACTCAAAAAGTCAAAATCTAGCACATAAATCGTTTATGAGACTATATAATAGGAACATTCGACACAGTTGCTTAGGAAATAGCTCTATGATTCTATTCGCGTATTTATTTTCCTAGCTATACGTAGTGTGATGAGAAAGACCATTGCCAATTCCGTAGGTTGGAAATAGTAGCCTTATTTAGCCACACCTCGAATCTCCACATCACTACATCACTTACTCATAACTTCGGTGCTGATGAGCATTTCAAAAATTTTCAAAAATGCTTGTCAGATGATAACGTTACGCATGATTATCTGGATAATTTTATGGTCCTATACCTTCCAGAAGATAGCAAAAATCACTCAGGATGAGTCTGGCTTTCTAATCCCACAATTATTACGATAAGAATAATATCTCAACATAAAAGCCCCCTCATTGGTATAGGAGCAGAACCAAAAATTCGGTTACCTTCTCTTTACTCCAATCCATTATTGGGATTTTTGAGAATGGACAGATTTTTAACTGCAGTAAATAGGCCTGTTCTATCATAAGAATTACTGGTTATGCTTTGCGTTTCTCATACATCAAATACACTGGCTTTTTCAAAATTCTGCAAGACGACAGCAGAGAAGTGAGACGAAAACCTTTTTATAATCGCTGTCAAAGATATCAGATGCACGAGGGTGTGAAACTAGTGATTGGAAAACATAAAATAATTTTCTGGAAAGTAGATACATGAACTTGTTGACAATCACATGAAACCCAGTAAAGATAATAGTCAGAAAGATCGGAGATTGGGCTCGAAGACGGCTTAGCGCACCCACTACAACAATGGCCAGTCGTTGTCACGGACGGCCTCGACCTGTTCGAGATCGTATCGCGTTCGAAAAAGTTCTACAGACCGCATAGTATCATCTCATAATTTGGACTACTTCTGCTGCAGTCTCTCGAAACAACGCTTTGATCCTCTAAGCGACTTTGAACTTATAAGAATAATAACGAAACTTCAACAGCGAAATATACCTACAAGGGATTAGAAGCCGAAGATAACTTCGTAAGCCAGCAGCGTTTCTCACAGTTTACTTATCCCTCCCCATGCTGCACCATCTTCGTGTTTAATTCGATTGCTTTGAGAGTCAGAACAATTACACGATCATAATTTATGACAGTTCAAATTGCAATACGCGGAAAACTCGTAGTCGATAACAATGATCAAAAAAAGAACGGGCGATGATAGAACTTTAAAACGATTCTATGTACAATTTAAAAACAAATGATAAACAAATGTCTAGAAATGCTATCTATTTGGCACCTGTAAGCGATGTGAACTCGAACTTTAATATTTTTACGAGCACGTAAAGTAGATAGTGAAAAATCGAGCGGGTCAGAATCGATACAGAAGGCACTCACTGAGTTTCATTCTGTCTAAAAAAAAGGACTAGTAAGCATAAAATTCATACATAAGTAGATTAACCTATTGTAAGTGAATAGAAATAGACTGGCTCAAGGAATGATCAATGGAATAGACACAAAACAGACCAATAATACGATGTTCAATATGAATCCTATAAAACCGCCTTCGTGCTTCTTCGGATAACGCAAGAAAAATATGTATAGTTTTGTTTCACAAGAAGCAACACAGACATCAGTAAAACCTGCATTTGTACATTAATCCAATTCGCGCATTCATCAGTGATAGAGAAACAGCTAAAACAAAAGCAGGCGTGTGAATCCAGTTGAATCGACGTTACATCATCAGTTCTGCATGATCTCCTATACTGTAACTGACCTCGTAGATAGGAAGCTGAACAGACAAGAAACGGGCAAATATAATAGAATCGAGATCTGCTGAGAACTAGCGACGGGCTTGACGACAGCCTGCAATGCTCTCGTGAAGACTCCAGTAATCAAAGGAAGGAAAGATACCTTTGCGTCAATACACTGAACCCACAATCCCATTCATCAAGATTCCCTCCATGGCTCCACATAACTTAGGGGGAAGAAACCAATCTGAAAAGCATGCTATTTTCGTAGTGAATGAATAGAAAGAAAATAAACTAACCCTATCCGCAATCTGTCCTTTCCACCATCCACGATCTTCCCCAATGACGTCCACAAGAGTAAGGCGATCCCCCTTGCGTAGCGTGAGGAACTTTGGCTCAGTAGCATCGAAGTCGTGAATGACGCGGAAAAGCTGGAAAGACCGACGAAGTTGAAAACTGAGGAGATAGATCAGTTCGTTAATAAGAATTGCAAATAGTAGAGGAACACACCTTGCAAGTTCGATAAGCATTCTTCAGCGTAGTATTCAGAGAATTGAAACTCTCACATAAATTGTTTTCACGGTAGTAGTTGACCAGCTCCTGAGAGAAAAACATTATAGAATGAAGGGACAACGAAGTTATGTTCGCTACGACGAAGTACCCTAAGTTAGAAAAAAAACATTATTCACGAGGCTCACCACTATGCTATTAAACACGTATCCTTCATCAAGATAAAATATCGAATCCCGCTGCTCCACAACTGTGTGCTTGACTTCACCCTCATAGCTATAAAACCAAGCTTGAACTCTTCATTTAGAAACACTGTAGACCAACCTGATGCTTATAACGTAACTATGACGATTCTTACTATATCGCACAAGGAACGTTCCGTTTGGAGTTCCTCTGAGTTTCGCCTCCGAATCAGCTCTTTCCAAATCGCCCATATACCATGGTTGCAAACTGACTTCTGTGTTTACGTAATCTTGTTGTGGCGCTGGAGTCATTCTGAAGCGCAAATCAATTTACTATTCGTTCTGCTAGATAAGATTTGATTCCTCGTTTCGCATGTCACTATAGTGTGAGAATTCTCTAACACCTACTTTTACTTAGGATTTCACATACGTATGGCAGCGATCAATTCAAAGCTTATGGGCAATGAAAAGATCCAGTAAAAAATAATGAAAAAAGGAATTGGCAGCAAATTCACCATCGGTAAGTTTGACGATGCGACACGACACCTTACACCTAGCCATCTTATAAATACAGCAAGTTTGTGTCAAAGATGAATTTGAGCAATGTAGAAGTGTAGAGAACACAGGGTGAACCGCATCGTGTGCGAGTGACATTGCCACCATACAACACAAGCAAACACTAGTTTCGCTTGTCATTTATCATGAAATGACAGATGAATTGCTCTTAGTCATCACATTCTGATACGTATCCGAACGCACGACCGATGACTCAGAAAGTATGATCACAAGAGGACAAGAATTTCTCGGAACGTATAGAAAGAGCTTACCCATTGCCCATTCTCTTGGGAAGAACTGTAGACTCCTTTCGGTCAACTCGCACACCTACGGGACTGTCCAGAGGAGAACACATACCCTGCACGGAATTAGTCTGGAAGCATTGTGTGAACATTCGTGTGAGGGCTTGGCCTTATGAATCCCGTCTTACCCTTACTCGACGAACGTGCTCACTACGAACGAGGCCAACGCATTGCCTGTCGTTCAACAGACAGCCCTAAATCGGCATATTTCAAGCAGAAAAATAAGAAAAACCTACGCGCGGCTACCGACAAAGTCCTGTCATAAGTGTTCGAAAAACATACCGTAAAAGTGCCGTTTCCGTGATTTTGAATGATTTCTATAATATCATCTTTGTCGAACATCAAGAAACCATGATCAGCACTAGACGATCTCGTCAAGGCGATAACCTGGTCCCCGCTTGATACTAAATCAAATGGATGCGTTCTCTTACAGTACTTTACAGCAGAAATTAAAAAGCGACCAAGTGAAAAAAATAACAAGCACAAAACTTACACCCAAAGGAGCTATGCCTAAAATGAGTTCCGTTTGTGAAAGAACTACTGTGGGAGACGGAGGTTGTGTGACGTCGTCCAGCACATGGACGCAAGGCAATGCAAGCCTTGTGTAGAAGACCACCGCAATCTAGAAAAGCTTGCTACAGAATCTGTGAACAGTGTCAGTCTTAAACATCCCTACTTTCGCATTTATATCCTTGAAAGAATAATCCTTTGAGGAACTTGTCACAAACGGAACACTTATGAGGGATATCCACTTTGAAGCTTTTGTAATGCACCTTATGACCGGTACCTCCAACTTCTTCAGGTATGACATTATTTCTTAAACTATATACAATCAAATGGATCATCATGACGTTAGGAAAAAGCTACCGTGCAAGCTCGAAATGATGCAGCCACTTCTCGCGCTGTTGCAAGACCTTGAATGCGAGCGTCAAATGTCTTACAGACTCTTGCGTACATGCACGTTCTTCTCGAATCAAGTAAAGAAGATGCTGGTTGGCGGACGTAATTTTTCTGCAAACTAGTATGTCTAAACAGTGCAAGAGTAATGTCTACACCAACCTAGATATCGTCCCCATCTTCCCGTCAGGCATTGGATTATCAAGGCTGGGGTGTAGTTCGGAGACGATGTAAGCAGCTTTGTACGTGTATGTATTGTTCTATAAAAAATTGGCATGTCCACTTCAACTGAAGGAAAAAATCTGACTTACTCGATTAGCCTTGCAGATAATGAGAACTTTGTCAAATATAAAAACATGACGAGTTTTCATTTTTCCAAATTGTTGACTAGTTGATTCAGATAAGCGAACTTCGCCGTCGGCGTTCAGCCTACCGTAATCCATGAGTGTGACGTCCTCAGGCTTGAATGTCACATATACAATTTATACGCACAGATGCGATCGACCCCTCACAGAATATATTTCACAATGTACTAGACCTACCAAAATTTGCAACAGTGTACTAACCATGGTTAGTTCGGTGATGCTATTCTGCACTTCACTGATCAACTGTCTGGTTTCGTTGTCCCTCTTCATCTCGTTCACATAAGAGTTGACATCATCCATTGCCTCTTTGGCTAATTCAAGAGATTTCCTATCTGGGGCATCAATCGGTGTAGATTTTATCATTTCCTGGAAGAAAGCGAATCATTCATTGACTTCTGCTATGGCGAAGCCTCTAGACACTGCAGAACAGCCTAAAGTATTCACAACAAGCCGAAGGCTCGAATGACTTTGCGATTTTGTGAGATTTTCGGGGAATTATGATAGAAAATTGCCCCTGAATCCTCAGACAGCGGATAGGACCCCTCCGCCGGAGAAATGGCAGGGCCGCGGGGTTTCCCCAGCGGTGGGTCTGCCACTCGTCCGCCGGAGCCCTCCCATTTCTGCTCCGGAGACCTCCCATTTTCTGCTCCGGATACCTCCCATTTTCTGCTCCGGATACCTCCCATTTTCTGCTCCGGATACCTTCCATTTTCTGCTCCGGAGACCCCCCATTTGTGCTCCGGACCCCTCCCATTTTTTGCGGCGCGGCTCTTCCAAATCTGGCGGACTCGCGCCGGGCAAATTTCTCCGGCGCGGCTCTGCCAAATCTGGCAGAGCCGTGTCGGAGAAATGGCGTACCTTTGCAGCAGGGCCGGAGAAGCGTCCCATTTGCCTGCCAGTGATGTCACGGCGACGGACCGCCCATTTGCAACGCTCTCATTGGTCAACTGGGTCCGGCGCGACTCTGGCAGATTCGGACTGTCCGGCGGAGGGGTCCGGTCGATTGTCTGAGTCTGCACAAGTATAGCTGGCACGCTGCGCGTATAGAACTCATGCCACGCCGTAGCGATTGCAAAATCAGGGTAGTTATAGGTGAGCAGAACATCATACTGTAATGGACTATCTTCTGACGGGATCAGTGCGCCAATTGCTAGCGCCAAAATCCGGGTATGGTAGGCATCGAATGAAGTGCCTTTTGACTCACACGGAAAAGTTGCAAGTGCAGACTGATATCTGAGCATTACCGTGCCACAAATACTCCCCCCCCCCCCTCCCTTGAATGTTGCAAGAATGCTCAACATGCAAAATTTGCATTTTTACTCTCTGCTGTTTACTCGCGTAACACCACCGGATTGCGCTGAAGGTCTTCTGTGATTAGGTTCCATAAACGGAAGTAACAATAACCATGGCCCCGTGTTTGAAGACCAACTCGGATGAGATGCTGATTTTCATGCAATGCGGTTACGTCTTGTAGCAGCCGTTACAGAATAGTAATCAAACACTATGCTGACGTAAGTAATTTTACATAGCAAAGAGAAGCAATTATATAGTAGCGCAATTTTTTTTCAAGGGAAAAAAGCTTTTCGACGACTCTATGACATATGTTAAAAAAAAACATCACAAACACCATACTAATTGAGACTATGATAGAGACGAGATGAAAAGTGCATTATGAAGTAACATAACAAGACTAACGAAATTTCAAGCTTACCGAAAGCAGTATGTGATATTTCAGCACCCGCTGCATTGGCAAACACAACAGATCTTGCAGTTTAAACTGATTATCATTGACAGATGCAGTACATTCCTGGATATGAAGGACATTTTGAATCGCAAGAAATCCAATAGATACTCACATATATTTTGTTCTTAATAGCAGGATCGTTTTTCTCGAGGTCAAGTATTCGCGCTCGAGATTCGCCAAGACCCATGCAATAAGGACCATAGGCAATGAACTTGTCCTTATGTCTAGACGAAGATGGTCTCTATGGGAAGAAAACTTCGAAAAAATTATCAACATTCAAACTCACTGCAGAAACACATCCCCAATCGTTCTTCCTAATAATGAGTTAGGCCGTCCTTCACTGCTCTGGCTCAACCCAAGCGTTTTCAAAATCGCATGCCGCAAGTCGCTATGGAATGAGTGGTGTAGGTTCCATAGAGTCTAAAGAGAATTTTTGTATCAGGAGAACAAAAGATAAAATGAGAAAGACGTACCATGATATTCATGAAGATTATTTTGTGGTCTGCCTCACGTACGACCTTTTGGAGCGGTTCGTAGAATTTGTTGATTATCATATTTAGAGCTTTTTCTACATAGTTCTGTTCAGTATCTAAAAGTTCTTTCATGCAGTGCTCTCGTTTGCTTGATGGAGTAAAGGATGACCACGCCTGTAACAACTTCCGATGCAACGACTGAAAGTGCCCTTAAAGAAGTATATGCAAAAGCTTACATCTTGCTTTCGCTGACTATCTTTTCGGCAAACGATGTGATCGTAGATAAACTGTGGCTCTTCCTCATCACTTCTAAATAAAAGATGTAAGACTATATAACAGTGATCACTATTAGATGTGTATGATGAAGTTTTATTCTAGTTTGGAGATTTCAACTATCATAATTCTATCCAGTGAAGTTCTAATCTTACTGCACAATGCAATAAGTAAGGCCTCCAAACCCAAATCGTGAAGAAATTTAATCTCAACAGCTGATCAAATTCTCATACAGTACGTGTCCTTGCAAAAACGCAGGCCCTTCTCAGAAATAGAGATGTTGACACGTGTCACGCACTGAGATGCAAACAGTGTCGCGCAACTTTTTCTCGATATGCACAACACTGACGGCAAATCAGCGACGGTGATACGCGCATGAAATTCGAGACAGATTTTGAAGAAGCAAGAGCGTCATCCAATCCAAAATACGAATGACACGAGATAAAACAAGTAGACAAAATGTTTGTACTTACTTCGTGGGAGATATATCGTAGATGGCAGCATCCAAGTCAACTTTTTCAACATCATCTTGTAAACTACGATAGATAGCCTCTTCTTCTGGAGGAGGACATATCCGAAGGGGAACGTTGATGGAAGTCGATGATGTACTTTCAGACGGAAAAGGCCTCAACAAAAAGATAGCTATTACAGAGAAATGGTCGGAGGTAAGGACACTGCAAAAAGACACAGAATAGGCGTGGAATGAATAGTCGAATGTGCACGGAAATGCCGAGTTCAAAACAAAAGAAATATAGGTTGCGATAGGATAGTATATACAACTCACTTGATATTTTTCCGCAGGGCAGGTTCAGAATGGGACAGCATAGATAACATAGATAGTACTTTGGCAAAGTCTTGTAACCGGAAGAGTTCCCACGCTTCAAACATTTGTTCCTGTTTCAGGTTGAACACTGTTTTGCATGCACCCAAAAACAAGCATATGTTCTTATGGCATGTGAACTGAAAAAAACTCTATAAGAAACTTTGATAAGAAGCAGTGCGATAAGGTCACCTCGGACATGTGCTGCCGCCGCTGAATCTCCTTTTCCTCTATGCAGTTTGGAGCGAGTTCATTCAATAATCGACATAACAGGACCCCATCCCTGCAAATAGATTCAGGATAGAGGTAGAAATTAATGTAAGAGACAAGCGCGACATTTTAGAAACGCCGCAGTCCTTATTGGCTTCTTGACCCACAAAACATACAGACTTTTACTGCTTTTTGCTGGGAAAGTCGATGGCTGGAGGCGATCTTATGAACAAGTTCTCGCATGACCCACATTCTTCTACGAAAAACAATCGTGAGCCAAGTGACCATTAAGAATTCTCGTTTGAGATTCTTACGAGTCCGCGCTCTAAAGTGTACCTTAGCATAGTGGCAAAATCCAACATCGAACTTCTTGGTGCGACTCTCGAGTCAAGGACTCCCATATCCACCATCCATCGCACACATTCTTTCCACAGTTCATTCCCCTCCAATGTTGACATACGATCTAGTTTCAGCCGCAATGATCAGTAAGTAGTTAGAGAGCAGTGAAACTGAAACTCGTTAGACATGAGGTATACAAAGCACAGGAAGAGATATTCATGACTATAAATCCAAAGTCAAACCATGATAGGAGTACAACGGAAATGAAGTTAATCAGAACTGGCCTACTTGATAAAGATCGACCATTTTCACATCATACATACACTAATTATCAGAATTAGAAGCGATATCGCACACTGATTCAAGCAGCTGGAAGCACTATCAAAAGTGCATGCAAGGTATTTCAGCTGCAACAGATGAGCAAGCAAAAAATACTAGCTCACATAAGTCTATAAGCACTAATAAGCTGATTTGCAATTTATCAGTACCAGTGATTGCAGTCGTTCAGAACAAGAGTCTTTAATGGACTTCTCAAAATGAAAGTGAACGCAGCAGGAGCGAATTCGCAAACGTGTAGAAACACTGCACCATGAGAACTGTGTAACACGACGCGAAAAAAAAAGATTCCGAAGGCGGCAGTGAAAGTAAGTGATTCATGGTTTAAGAATATGTTTCTAAGCGCAGATAAATAAACATGTGCATCAACATAAAAACTGCGTGGGAATACGTCTGGCATCACATCCTTAGACGAGATATGCGTAGAAAGTGCCTGAGCAACTTTGATGGATATGTGAAAGTTGACTGCGACAAGAAATGTATCCGACTGAACTGTCGTTCAAAAAATATTATTGAGATCAATTTCTGACGAAACTGACCTATCCAAAAGTGCGAAAATGGGGCACTGGTAGAACCTACCAATCCAGTTCCAAGTAGATCTTAGATTTTAGTGAACTGCATGGAAAAGTCAGAAATTTGAAGAATAAATAGTGAAGAGAACACGATAGCGGTGTTATTATTCTTTTTTTCTTATGTTGCGCTACCTGCAGAATATACAAATGAAGATGCTATCATGTTTCAATATTCTAACAAGCACAATCTCCATCGACTCTTGTTGGATCAGACAGAAAGAACCGGAAAGAGACATTATGCATGATGAGAGGGATAATTAATATTTGGAAATACCAAACATTGTGAACCGAATACATAATGTGACATAAAAGTGCACGTTGTAGTAAAAAAAAGTGTAAAAACTTTGAAATGAGTGGGATCGGTAAGGGGAAGTGCACGGAGATACTAACAGATCTGATGTTAATGTTAATGCGTCGGGAATTATTGCAGATTACCGCGTTTGTTTGTGATGATATGACTGGGTTCTCGGTTTGAACATGGGTGATTGGTGGAGCGATCGATCGAGCTGAAGGCATAGCAATGCGTTAGTGCGGTCGAACTAATACGATTCGGCAATCGTTGAGACCTCGATTAGTGCTTTTTACCGTTCATTTCACATGCAATTCACATAATTATATATCGCTAGAAGATTGGTATGTAACATGCAATTCTACGGCGATCAATGTACGCTATGATGCAGAATTGTATTCCGACCTTTGCCGTTGACTTGACCGTTAATTGGTCATCAAAGCACCTGAATCTAACTTTTTGTAGAGTAGCAACAAGAGCAGAGCCATTTGAACCTGATGTACAAGAGATGGAATTCACAAAGCAGCAGCTCATTTGTCTGAGAGCTACCAGCTCACTTGCAAACGAATGCATTTATGCTTCGATTCCATCGCATAAACATCTATTGCATCGCGCTCACTCACTCAAATTGGCGATTCGTTTCATATGCGGTCTATGACGTCAAGTAATTAAACGTTTTCTCTCAAGATCATTTGGGCGCTGCCTGCCGGAAAGGGATGAGGAAAGTTCTCCTTCGTTATGTAGGAAAAAGGCTTCTGGTAAAAAGGAAAAAATGCATTTCTTTCCTTCCGACCTCTACTCTTCCAAAAAAAAAATAATAAAAACTGAATCAAGTGAACGCGTAATGCTTCCGATTTGGACGTAGCATTGGTATAATCAGCGCCCACGATTCGAGCTCCAAAGTAAATCGCAGCTGAGCCGAAAAGAAAAACGCGTTTCCCTGAGGTTAATACCGAATCAGTCAACATATGATGTGACTATAGATCTTCATAAAGAGAAGGGAAAAACAATAGGTTTGAAAAAAAAGGAAAACAGCAGATTTGGAACAAAAAAACTCATAATCTATGTACATAGCAGCAGAAAAGGCAGTATACAGTGACTATTCAACGACATCCTTGAAAAGTCAATCGCAGAATTTGGATACAATGATTTAGCCCATACGCATTTCGTAAGAGTGCTGCCTGACCAAATGTGCTAGACGCACGAATCAATAATCATAACAATGCAAAGGTCACAGATGAGGAAATTGTTGAAAACAGTCCTGCGTCTTCACCTTTTTGACACTGGCGAAGTAAATCAAAAATGGAATGACAGAAGATGAAAAGCGAGTAGTACACGTTAAAATCTGGAGGCCTATCTCGCACAAGAAGCGGAAGAAGCGGGCCAACACACCGTATTTGCCGTATCTGCTTGGTAAACACACACAGAGACCCTAGCCACTCCACATGTTAATGTGTGTTGACACTTCTTACTCTCAGTTTACAATAACGCTAACTAGATTCTCATAAACGAAGCAAATATTTCGGCTATGAAAATTTACCCTTAGGTCGATGACTCATACGCGCGTGTCAAGAACTTTTTTTTGGAAGAATAAAAAGGGTTGCAGTTTTAAAAGCCGGTATTTGAGGTATATGGTTGCATCATAGAAGCAAAACGCTCTAATGTATATACACAATGCTCAGAAAGAGCCGGTGTGCGGAAGTCTTGTGTGGAATTCTAAGGCCTTACAAATGATACTTTACTTCGCGAAATTGGTGCCTATGTGCAATACTACGAATCCTGATAAATTATTTCGGAAAATTCAACATTATTCTCGAGTTATTCAGAGGCTGTCTAACGACGACTGCCTGATGCATGCATCACCATCAGCGGCGTGCGGTTTTAGAACAATTCTAGCTCTATGGAATGCTGCAGCGCCCCGGACCACAAAACGAGTATTCTCGTCATCCTATGAGCTCTGATTGTTATTTCATTACTTTACTCTTTCCCATTTCATTCCTAGTCTTTACTTATTATATGCTTCTTAACAGCAACATGTGAGTGTTTGCTTCTACGCTTAGCTTGCTTCATTGCGAATGCGGAGGTCTTTTGGCTAACAAATGTTGACTTCACTAGATATCCATTGGTTTCCTGAATTCTTACATGTAACAGATCCAAAATTAAGACAAATCGTTCTCAGGCCGAAGACTCAAACTCCCAGTTAACGGATCAAAAGTAGTGAGAGGAAACCCCAAAACGCATGCCCCATACCTCAAAGGCACTCTATCATCACAAGGAAACGAGTTATGTTGAAGCAAAACAGTAGCTTGGAAAAACAGTATTTCACACCCACCTTTCTGCCTTCAAAACCGACAAGCTGCAACGCGTCGCTCAACTGCGGGAGCATGTGCTCAATATAATAAATCAGGGTCCGTGCTTAAAAGGGAAGGGGTCGGCCATACTATTCCTGCTATTCCTACGACTCCTGCGAATCCTGCGATTCCTGTGAGTCCCGCACAGTTCAGACGCCGCTATGAGCGCGTGTTGCGTAAAACAACACGTAACACGCAACACGCACTCATTTAAGCGGCGTCTAAACTGTGTGGGACTCACAGGAATCGCAGGATTCGCAGGAGTCGTAGGAATAGCAGGAATAGTATGGCCGATCCCGAAAAAAATGAACGAAAAACGGTAAAGCAGAACGGAGAAGATTGCGAAGCATGTGGTCCCTACGCGCCACGTACTGTAGAACTTGAGACGATCCCGCAGTCTTTGTTGGTGTAAATACACACATCGAGGTAGTCGTCTTTATTACATACGTAGCCTTCGCCATATTTTACTCTAAGGGCCGTTGCATTAAGTAGTAACTCTGCTCATTGAACGGAGTAAAAGTAGCGAACATGAATAAATTCAACTTTCTGCTTAGATTCTACCCATGCCATTTCTTTTACATCTTGTAGTACTACGTTTCAGACCTTTTTTTTTTCAGTTTCCTTACATGTGCTTAGTAGAAGTCGAATAAAAACATTCTTTACAAGAAAATCGTCCTAATAAAGAGCAAAGAAAAAACGTTTGGAGTCTCAATATAGACTTGTAAGCACACCGACTGTCTCAGGTCACTGACGAGAATTTCTAAAGAGTCAGACGAAAGAGTGGTTCACGGACGACCCAATTCACGTTCAAACCGGAAACGGTGCGTTCCCTTTTAGCGAAAGATTTACGAAATGCGGGAAAATGCAGTAGAAGGGACGTTACTTCTACTGTTCATAGGATTGTAAAAAGTCAGGGGTGGATTTCTACACAATCTCTTTCTTATTCCGAACTCTGATTTGCACTTGCAATTTAGCAGCTCGCAAAATCTTGATCAAGACTAAGATGGTGTGCCTTATCAGTGATAATGAAGTTTGCCAAGTCTGCTATATTTCTCACTTCATTGAAATAATCAAGATGATAGAAATAATAGCAAAACAATCTGCTATAAAAGAAAATTTATTCCCATCGAGTGACCGGTATCGAGCGGTGAAACTTTGATAATTGTTCCATTTTCAAGGAAGCTAGGAGTTGGTGTCATTTTATAACCAAGCTTTGATGTCTGATGTCCGATTTCATGCCTCAACAAATTTTGTCTCTTTTCTCAGTAATCCCCGACTTCTTTTCCATTATGGTGTGCTTTCTCCTGGGACCTTGAAAAACGGCTCAAAGATATGGACTTCACCGTGTTCTTCAGGATGGAATGATACTTTTTTTGTTGACACGCCATTACATTGTCAATTCTAGAGTCCGGTCTGGCCGAGAAGTACAGTTCATCTCTCAAACCTGATTGACTGGATGAGCAAGAATCTAGAAATGCAGGGCCTCAGTACGCGAGATATTGCGATTGAACAAATTTGTTGAGCATCTATTTTAGGGAAAAATGATGGATATCGTTGAGCTAGCAGAAAAAAACGGGTAAAAAAGTGTTGTAGCAAAGATTACAAGAAATCTGACGGAGGCTCGTACATGATACATACACCTAGTCAAAAGTGTGTAGATGACTCTTTGTGCAAGCCATGACTTGTAATGATGTGGAACACGCAACCGAGCACATCGCATTACTAGCAGGGCCCGACATGAGTTCGTTTCTAAGCTTCTTGAAAATGAAGTCCCCTTTGACTCTTAGCCCTAAATGTAAAAAACTCTCAAACAAAAACGCCAACTGCACAAAGAGAACTCATAGATGTCCTCTCTGTACTCATCTGTACAGCAAATCGTCGATTATGCAGGTAAATGTCACAAGATTTGCAAGACTCCAAAACTTCTGATAAGAAAAATGACTAAAACAGCGGAACTTATAGAACTCAGATCATTTAAATGCTGTTTGAATAAACGAGAATAGTGTGAAGAGTATGCAAGTGTAGAGGCACATATGAATGTGCTAACGCGCGCTCTAAATCCTGTTCTTGCACCACACTTTCCCGAAAACCGCCTAGATCGCACAGCTCGTTGAATTCGTTCGGATCTCATTATTGCGTAATTGATGTTGTACAGAACCAGCTTCGGAACGGTAGAGTTATCGTACTGACGCGATAGCTCTGAGATGGACTAGCATCATCACAACTTGGTTCAGTTCTATCTTCAATAGTTGGGTCAATCTGACCACTACCCAGACTGTTATTTTTTCCGAGTTTTCACCGTTTTCTATTGATGGCCAGGGAAAAGTGCCATGCTGCATGATTTCAAGAATATATAATTTTCTGCGTTAATTTCCTCAACGACAGGTAGTCTTGATATTCTCTGCAAGAGCATAATGTGAGCAACAACACCTAAATCTGAAGCTGATACAGTTTGTATTCACCGCGCTGTCCCTAGCATGCGGCGCGAGGTTCCTGCGAGGTGACCATCCATCACCTGCGAGGTATTGAATGTGCCGAAAACCGTGATACACTTAGACAGAGTGTGTGTCCAGCAACGTGGTGCTGCTCGAATCCATCCGCGATAAAACCTCTACAGAAGCACGCGTTATTTGATTCATTCGCGACAAATATAATGCTCATTCTTAGCAGCAAAGTGTTCAACATCGATCGAGAAAGTACTGGAAACTACACTGCACAAAGTAGTGACGCACAAATTTATCTGCTGTTGTCATCAGCAACTCCGACAACAGTTTATGTTCGATAGCAGCAGCGCTACCATTCAAATCTGTTGACCTGAGCAAGAGTGAAGCGGTATTGTTCAAGAGCATCCGCCGAACAGCGGACGCCTTGATAACGACCCTCCCCCTCCCTGATTCCTCAATACGACCCCCGAGCTATGGCATGCCACCCCCGCGCTTGACCCTGCTTATAAGCCGGAAAATGGGGTAATTGGGCTTAGTCTCATCTAAAGAAAAAAAACCCTGAGTTTCTTTGAAACGGATTTTTTGCTTCAACAGGAACGAACATCACAGATTTACAGGAGCTGTTGTAGCAACCCGAAGTAGTTTTCCGACATGCGCTTCCGCTTTCCTAACTTGCAGACATCTGCCTGTCCGTAATAGCAGATCGGGTCGGGTCCATACCACAAAAATGTAAACGCACAAAGCTATCATAAGTTTACATAATCTACGACAACTGCACAATCTCATAGTTAATGCTTACACTTTTGAATGTGATATTCAACATAAAAAATTCACATGAAACTTTTATGATTTTTCCTTTCCACAGCATGCAAATTAAGCATAATATCTATATCATAATATCATCCATAGTTAAATTAAGCACAATTGGTCGTTTTAGACACATATGATACATACCTGATTGGTGTTCAAAGGGTTAGTAGGTCACGAAAGACACACGAAATTACGGTGATTTGTACAACTTCGAAAAAAGTTAAAGTGCGCAGGTTCTTTCTTATTTAGCTTTCGTAAAGGTAAATGGCATAGTCTACCGCGTACTTAATGGAAGTCTGAATTCTGAATGAGATCTCGAAAACAATGATGGCAAGTTGTCAAAAATACTGATCATCATAAGGGGAGTCTGGTTGGCAGTGGGAGATTGGCGACGCAGTCAAATTCAGATTTACCATATCGTTGAGGTATGGACCGGAATTTTGACGTGGAGGACAATCGGAAGGTGTTATGCACATCGCGAAGCAATGTGGTGATATTTGCGATAGATATACCTGACCAGTGCTCCATTTCGGTCGACCATGGTTTAGGTCCTGGAAGATCTACTACTGTCTCAGTCGATAGAGTCACTTGGCAAAATGCCCGTAAAATGAACCACAAAGAAAGACTCGAAATTGAAATAAGTGTAAAGCAGGCGTTGAATGGACAACATAGGAACATCTACAACCGAAAAGTTGCACAAACATACCGGAAGAATTCTGTGAAGAACATTTCAATAGACAAATATAGCGCTGTAAAAAAAGTTACCTGTGAGAACATTCGCATAGCCAAGGCAAGCAGCTGCAATATACGACGGCCGATAGGCAAGATATTCGACCTCGAGCAGCATTAGATCGAGTAGTATATTCATTGCGTTGACGGTTTTTCGAGTAGCACGTTGATGTCCGGCAAGTCGATCGCCAAACCATTTCGAGGTCGGAGTTCCGACATCAAAGTGCAGTCCATTCAAAATAATGCGCTCCATATGAAGAACCTGTAGAGGACAATGAGGAAAGTGCGATGCAAAGACACGGCTTGGTAAGGTTACCTGTTCAGCCGTATAAATGTCGCCAGTGATGTAGGCAAATTCTTCCAACTCGGGTGGATAACTTTCTTCATATTTTCTAAAAGAAAATAACAAAAAATTGCACAACAATGAAACAAGTAAGCAGGCAGTTACGATGATATCATCATAGCAGTTGTCCCGACCAATTGCAAACGATCTCGATCTATGCGAAATTTCGATAAAGTCGTCTACTAATGAGACAGCAAGATGTAACGTTTCCTGAAAACAAATTGTTTTCCTCATAAAAGAAGGATCACAGTCCTACCTGGTGCATTTTGTAGTCCTGTGCTACATTTGATAGCCAGTCCACAAGGATAGCTCTCATTCCTGGAGTTAGATCAGTTTGTCGCGACATATAATTGGCTTTGGCTCGAACTTTTGCCTCTCTATCTCGCATGTACCTTAATCGCTCTACTGAACGGAAAAATTCGCATAGTACAAAAACCTTTTTTTTTGCTATACCTATAGATGTCATCAGAAAATTCAGGATTATAGATGATATCAGGGACCTGGGATACCGACAAGACTTTCTGAAAAGATTGTACTAGCAAATGTACTCTCCCAAAATCAAAGCGTATTTTAAGATGGTAAAGTAAATATGGCACACTTAAAGGCACCGTCCACCCAAACTTTCGACTTCCATGTTTTTGCCGTTCCAGGGCCTTCTCATATCCCTGATTCCGAATAAAAAATCGAGAATCTGCGAAAACCTCAAAAAGCCCCCGTTTTCAGCACCCGCAGGGCGAGTTCGCCGGAACGGTGATTGGTTGGGTGCGCACGGATGGGCGGGACGAACGTCACACCCACTCAAAGGGGAGGAGCCGACATCGGAAAACTGTCATCCGAGCGATTTTCGGGGCAATTTTCTCACTTCAGAAGCAACTTTTACCAGCGCGAGTTGCACGAGTATACAGTTGGGAGCCCCACCACTGTTGATCCTCAAAATCTCATCAACATCATTTTGGGTGGACGGTGCCTATAATACGCTTGATCCGCTCAATCTACTTCGCTGTTGGTCAGTCCACTTTCAACCATCAGCGAAACAAAAGAAGTGGATCAAGCGATCACGTGGATTGAGTGTGGCGCGTGCTTATGGAAGTGCAGCAATTTTGGTGCTCGGATAAAAACGTTAAAAAAATGCCTTTTTCTAGGAACAGATTTCTTCCCTAAAACCTGCACATCGAGTAAAGCTCACATCTTCATCAGAGTCGAAGTCCAGAGATGAATTGGATAGATTTCTTAACGGCTTACGCGCTAAGGCTACACTTGGCTAGAAGAAAAATATATGAATTACTTGCTGACAAACTCTCACCGCACATTACCTTCTGCTCTTGTTTACTGCATTCTTCTTCACGACTGATATTGTTCTCATCATTATCACTGTCACAACTGACTTCGAAGTTCGAATTTACAGCTGGTGCAAAAGATCGAGAGCATGGGAAGGCGGGCGCTGCATTGACCGTCGACGGCTAAAAACATGTACATGCCATTCATCGCACGCAAAGACTGCGGACGTATCGGCGTCTCCCTGATCAAGCGCTTTTTCGTTTCTCTTACCATCTGCAACCTCTTCCAAGCACGAGCTATCTTGGATGGACGCAACTGGTCTTTGCGTGTTACGAGTCGCCGATACAGTCGAGTAGATTTTCCACTTAATATGGTTTGCTTGCACTGTAGGTGCAATCCGGTGAAATTTACGCGTAGAGCATTGGCCATGCCACCAATGCCGGCATTGTGCGCGCGTTTTGGCCGGCGTCACAGGCGTAGCTATTTGTTCACGCGCATTTACCGCATTTCACCTACAGTGCAAGCACACTATATTAAGCGGAAAATCTACTCGACTGTAGAAGTTGAATACGCACAAAACCGGTTTTCGTTCACATATCGAGGTTATTTCCTACTTCGAAGATAAGACGCCGTTAAATAATTGCCGTCGTATCGGCTCCTACTGTAAAATAGTTTTTCACAGTCGACCAGATCTTCCTATATTCAATATGAAGACAAAAACTGGATAAAATTATCTTCGACATGCGAAAAAGGCGTAAACATTACTGTGCAAAATCACTGGGGTTTTTTTTTGTGAAGAAGAAGACTAGTATGGAAATTCGATGGTCAGCTCAGAACTCATGTACAAAGAGAGGAATATTCAAGATCTTATCAATAGTACCTTGATTGATTTGGTTTCTTTTGGTCCACGTTTGGTTTCCCTCAACGGATTCGCACTTCCATGTTGGCGTGTAAGCATCCCAGCATGTTGAGAGGCAAAATTTTGAGTTTGCACTAGTGACAATCCGGCGCGTGCAGGAGGTGCCATCGAACTGAAATAATAAATGTGCAGAGTGAAGAGATTTATTCTCCTATAAGATTCATGACACGTAAACATAGGGTAGCCTATGTAATCTATATGTATATAAAACTCAATGTCTGTGAGGATGTTCGTTTAGTTGTTCGTTCGTTATAGATACGCCAACCATTGAACCGATTGAGCTGAAACTTCGCACACATATGTTTTCGGCCCCGGCGGTGGTTTATGGCTACTTTTTGAGGCGATTCGCATGGTACTTCTATTGATTTATTGATTTGTTTACTTGAATCTGGTAAAATGAAAGTTAGACGTGCCTCAACCAATCATTTTTCCATGATCACGTAAGCAGGGGCGGTAGAGTACATTTCTATCTCAAAGTCGGGAGGATGCGGCAAGTCGTCTCAAAGCGCTTTTTGCGCACGTTTGAAGGAGTTTAGAAGCGTGAGTTCACACATTTTGTTAGCTAAAGTATTAGGTTGATGCATAATTCCTGCACCAAAATAGGTACAGACCGCAATAACTCGAAGTAATCCTATATCCCAAATAGGATTCGATATATCATTTGATAGCGCAAGCCTAGCTCTACAAGATGGTGCTCAGATATCTACACCAGCTTTAATCCACGCGAAGTTTTGAGCCAAAAACTGAAAAAAACCATGCGTCCGAAAACCTCAAGACAGATCTTAAAAAAATTGTAACTTCGTTCAAAAAGCTCATACAAATTTTCTTTCTTGCTCACGCGTAGACGTTCCACGTAAGACATTTATCTATACGGTTGCTGTATTTTTTCCTCAACTAGCCGATGAGAAAACGAAGTTTTTCATATTTTTTCCAAAACAATGCTGAGATGTTCTAGCACCGACAGTTGTATACTATAGGACCTTAGAAGCGTGAATGTGAATTTTCAGCTCTTTAAAGCAGCTGGTTTACGAGAAATATTGGATTTTTAGCAACTAGGCAAGAAAAAATTGGATAAGGAGAGCTAGATTCGTTATTTCTCGCGAACTAGCAGTTCTAGAAGGCTGAAAATGTAAAGTTTCACTGCTAACGGCATGTACTATACAACTGTTAATACTAGAACATCTCAGCACTAATTTGGCAAAAACATGAAAAACTTCAAAAAACTTCGTTTTTTCATCGCCTAGTTGAGAAAAAAATACAGCAACCGCTATGTAAATGTCTTACGTGGAACGTCTACGCGTGAGCAAGAAAGAAAATTTGTATGAGCTTTTTGAACGAAGTTACAATTTTTTTAAGATCTGTCTTAAGGTTTTCGGACGCATGGTTTTTTTCAGTTTTTGGCTCAAAACTTCGCGTGGATCAAAGCTGGTGTAGATATTTGAGCACCATCTTGTAGAGCTAGGTTTGCGCTATCAAATGATATATCGAATCCTACTTGGAATATAGGATTACTCCGAGTTATTGCGGTCTGTACCTATTTTGGTGCAGGAATTATGCATCAACCTAATAATTTGGAGCCTCGGGTTGAGGCCGGGGTTATCAGCTAGTAAGTAATAATGATACGGAACTTCGAAATTAGATTTAGCATTTGGATCGCTCTGGATTCTTTAGACTACCTAAGAGCTCGCCTTTTGAAGATCTTTGAAGCTTCTAGTTACCCTATGACAAAAATATGGTGAGCCTTTAGTAGGGTAGAGGACTATATGTCGCCGAAAAAGGGCGGTCCCCGGGTCATTTGCGACAAATACGCACCCTTTTATATACATACATATATACCTTGTATATCCTCGCATATATATGCGAGGACATGCGTCCCTGAAGGAAATCCGCGTGGGACTCTTCCACATTCGGCGACATATAGTCCTCCACCCCCTTTAGTAGATTATCAGCTTTGTCAAGCAGTCGTATTGTAGATTTGATCTTCCAGATCCAAAATTTGAATGATTTTGATCCTTTGCTCCTCATCCAACAAACCCGAAAAAGTTTTTTTCGCATTTTCTTTAGCAAACTGGACAGATTTCAATACCTTTTTCTCAAGCATAGTGAGTCAAAAGTAGTGTGTAAAATCTTCTATTACTTGTCATCGATACAGAAGGCCATGAAAGAAAAAAAGAAAAGAAACTTTTGCAAAACTCTTAAAGCAAATAATCACCAACAAAGCAAAAAGAGTGGTGGATTACTTCAGGAAACGATAACATAACCTCCATAAAAGATCTCTTCATTTGCCCAAAGAAGGTGAGAGTATCAGTATACATTTATTGACTGTACGGCGGTTTTTAAGTGAATTACAACTAAGAATAAACTAGTGATATAACAATGGTCAAAGTACGGATAGATAACATATGCAATTAACATCAGAGATAGTTATCCAGGAGTATTTGTGAAAGATCAAATTGTGTCTCCTCGTAAACCATTGAACTGCAACACTACGAATGATGAAAACGAGAATGCTGGATTATTAGATTCTTCGCAATTACAAAAAAAGTGATGGACGTTCGAGATAAAATGGACAAAGATGTGTGAAGACTCCATCAAATTTTCCCAATTCTTCATGGAGTAACTCAAAAATGAGTTCGAGATGATGAAATGGAATCACTGCATAGCACGTATAAGAGATTTCATCAAAGAGCTTTTGATGATAAGGAAAAACACCCGGTGATCGTCGTGAGTGGCATTCATGCCATAAATGTGGAAGACTTTGCTCCCAAACCTCAACTGGAGTAACCAGAATGCCGTTTTTTGAATGGAGGTACGAAAACACACAAAATGAAGATCGAAGGTGGTAACTCTAAATTGTATTCAGTGCACTTCCTGCAGAAGTGAGAAAAAAAGGAAGAATGAGAAATTTCGTACTCAAAAGCTACGTATATCAGAAAAGAGTGGAAATTGCTTAGACCCTCAATTTGGCTATGCATAGCTTTTTAATGCTATGGTTCTAGAGAGCCTGAAAAGGCATTTCAGCTCACCCACACGGACACAGAGAACAGAAATTTAACAATTAGAAATCATGGAAATCAGGAACGAATTGCAAGACAAGAGCACGAAAAAGTGCAAGGTATTGAGTGCAGTTGATTGATCGAACAGATTTGGAGCCACTCAGATAATCGCCGGGGGCAAGCGGCGATGCGATTTATGGGCAGGCGGGCACCGGAAAAATAGTTCGTTGATTTTTTGCGGCCCGCTTGCAGAGATTTGGAAGAAAGTTGGCGAAATTGAAGACGAAAGCTTGAAGAACAATCGCGGTTTCTTTATGGATTAGCTGCGGCGCAGTGGCCGCATTCTCGCGGACTTTCCGCGAGAATATGCAAAAATTTCGAGGGCCGCACGGTCCTTTGTGGAGGACCGCTCAACCCTCAGGTACTTTCCGCTGAGAGAAAGTACCTCAAACTTGAGTAACTAAACCAACGGTGACGCCTCTGCCACACAGAGTCTTACCTGCGCTCGACGTACGCCCGAAAATGCCTAAAAAGAGTCCGAGCGCTTGCTGAAAATTTGGCCAGCGCTCGCTGAAAGAAATTATTTGCGGAGCGCTTGCAGGAAATTTTGTATTGCTGCCCGCTGGCAGAAGACGAAAGTACCGCCCGCTGGAGGTTTGGCCACGCCCCAAAATTCTGCTGACCGCCTGCAGAAAAGCGCGAGTTTGCGGACCGCCTGCCCCCGGCGATTATCTGAGCAGACAACAATGGATAACCCTTCCGTTTTCTTACGCTCGTCAATAATGCGGTCAAAAGATCAGAAATTCAGTACATTCACAAGCCAGTCGGACAGTTGAGCAAAACACTGTAAAAGAAGGTGTTAGAACAGTGCTGTTAGGTGGGGACACTTTACCACTCCAACAGAAATCATGAATTCGACAAATTTTCAGATGTCTCTGATTTGCTTCATCTGATGATAAGCGAACTCTGTAGAATATAACTTGAATAACAAAAATGTTTGGTTGATTCATAGACAATGCACGTTCACTAAAGTTCAGCTTTACACTAGGGTAAGTTTTTTTTAGACAGTCTTACTGGGCGTAGTAAAAACTATTGCAAACTGCAGTTTTTGGCTAAACAATACATACCTTTTTGCAGCCAGTACGTGAAAGATTTGCCAACCCAACACTAAATTTTATCAGTTAGTCAGCTCATAAGCAAATTCCGCTTTTCCACATGGTGGAGGTATAGCTGCCAATTTACAAATCTACCACTAACGCGATTTGTTCTTGACAAATATCGACTTTCTCAGGTATGAGCAGGGTTGAGTGTGGGGTTAGGCTTGCCCAACTTGAGGTTAAGACTGGGGGAGGGGGGAGGGGGATCGAATTTAGAAATCGAATTCGTTCAAAAAATTTGGAATTTTACGATCGGGTAAATCGAAGAAGAAAGACCGGCTAACATCACAACTCCAACAGAACTGAAGGAATGGGTGTCGCGAACAGCATACAACACCACTAACGAAGTCTCAGAAGGGAGGGTCACGAAGATGAAGTGGCGGATTAACAAGCTGCGCACCATCAGCGAAAGCGCTGATTCCAAATCTGCTTTCCGCTTCTGCAGAGCGCCATTGGGAAAAAGGTTAGAGCGCCTTGAAGATGAATTAATAGAATCAAAAAATTAATGAATCAAAAAAAAATCGTTAAATCCTCCCCAGATGTCAAAGGGAGAAATAGAATGTGCTGATATATTAGACAAGAGGAGTTCATTATGAAGTACCCTGACTTTTGTCGCTGCTTTATTCAAGGTCCAGATCGGCTGTAGAGAATAATTTTTCCGGGCCATTAGTTCATTTTTTCGCGTCAAATGCATATAACTTCTTTTTCAAAGGCGCTCTGCTGATATGGAAAGCAGATTTGGAATCAGCGTTCCAATCTCTCACTAACGGCATGCAGTTTGTAGTGATCTGCTACTTAGACTTCGTGACTACCTTGTCAGCACACGCTCACTCAGATAATCGCCGGGGGCAGGCGGTCCGCAAACTCGCGCTTTTCTGTAGGCGGTCAGCAGAATTTGGGGCGTGGCCAAACCTTCAGCGGGCGGTACTTCCGCGTTCTGCCAGCGGGCAGCAATACAGAATTTTCTGCGAGCGCTCGTCAAATAATATCTTCCAGCGGGCGCTGGCCAAACTTTCAGCAAGCGCTCGGTCTCTTTTTAGGTATTTTCGGGCGTACGTCGAGCACAGGTAAGACTCTGTGTGGTAGAGGTGTCACCGTTGGTTTAATTACTCAACTTTGAGGTACTTTCCCTCAGCGGAAAGTACCTGAGGGTTGAGCGGTCCTCCACAAAGGACCGTGCGGCCCTCGAAATTTTTGCATATTCTCGCGGAAAGTCCGCGAGAATGCGGCCACTGCGCCGCAGCTAATCCATAAAGAAACCGCGATTGTTCTTCAAGCTTTCGTCTTCAATTTCGCCAACTTTCTTCCAAATCTCTGCAAGCGGGCCGCAAAAAATCAACGAACTATTTTTCCGGTGCCCGCCTGCCCATAAATCGCATCGCCGCTTGCCCCCGGCGATTATCTGAGTGGGTGGACGGTGCCTTTAAAGGCAGTGTCCGGGCAAAAATTCGATTTTGAGATTTTGTGCTTACCCGGGCCTATTCGCTATGCTGAATCCAAAAATCCACACTGGAAACCGCGAAAACGGCGAAAAAGGGTTCTAACACAAAAGTGAAATCAAAAGTGGGCGGGGTCCTCCCCACGGTGAATTTACGGTCCCAGCTTCCGGAGCGATCTTTTTGATTCCGCTAAACGTCCTGACATCTCCATAGACCAAGTGCGAACGCATGATCTAAAATCGGAAGCGAGAAGATCGCTCCGGAAGCTGGGACCGTGAATTCACCGTGTGGAAAGACCCCGCCCCGTTTTGATTTCACGCCTGTGTTAGAGCCCTTTTTGGCCGTTTTCGCGCTTTCCAGTGCGGATTTTCGGATTCAGCATGGCGAATAGGCCCGGGTAAGCACAAAATCTCAAAATCGATTTTTTGCCCGGACACTGCCTTTAATTTCACTAGTTCAAAACGCCTCGTTTTTTTCAAAACTCGACCAGCCTGAACACAACGAAACATTCTGCGACGAAAGGGCCCTCTTTCGTGATGCTCCTTACCTAAGAAGTGTGTGGGAGAGCAACCATTTCCCGAGGCACAGTGGTGCGGGCCAAGCTGCTTGCTTGAAAAAATGAAAAAGGTGCCTCATATGTTCGATAGTCTAAAGACAGGGCGTTTTTTTTTCGGGTGAAGGTTCTTTCATGTTGCTCAAAGCGAAAATTATAGGAAACGACAAACGATAAAGCGATGAAAAACAGAAGCCTGGCGATTTTACAATATTCGTTTATAAGATTATCCGTTACTTTTATCATTTTATCGGTTTTTTTGCAAAGTTTGAACGACGGGGCTGGGAGTTGGCACAGGGGGTAAGTGAGCATGCTGTTTACTAATACAGCGGGAATAGAGAATTGGCATGTAGTAGAAGTGGGGAACGGAAAGCTTGCACATGGATAGAAGTAGAACCTTTCCCATAGTGTTTTGACAGGGCCGGGGCGGAGCCCGGTAAGCCAGCTAGTTTATTTTATTTTGCAGCATAAATAGTAAGAGGCATTTGGCCTATGTTTATGCTCAGGTTCGGTGCTGCAATTTGCATGATGGGCGATCGGTTCGCACAGTTGAAATAAGCGCGAAACATTTACTTCTTCGCCTGCGAATTGTGTACAGTCGAGTAGATTTTCCGCTTAATATAGTGTGCTTGCACTGAAGGTTAACCCATTGACGACGACGCCTAATTTTGCGCGGCGGCGCTGTGAGACGACGCGATTTTGCACAATACTTTTAGTGTGGGAAGGTTTTGTGCTTATTTACGAAATGCAACATTGTTATGTAAACAACTATTAACATTTTCTTGAACGACAGAGCCTATAGGTCCTAAGAATACAAAAAATTGGAAAAATATTCATATGTGGAAAAAATACTAGACCTGCAAATAATACGACTTTGCGAGAGGTGTGGGCCACCGGGGGTCCACATCGTCCGTGGCAGCAAGAAGCGCGTAGGCCACCGGTGGTCCACATCGTCGTCAATGGGTTAAATGCGGTAAAATTTGCGCGTGAACAAGTAGCCACGCCAGTAATGCCAACATTTTGCGCGCGCAAATGGCCGGCGTCACAGGCGTAGCTATTTCTTTACGCGCAAATTTTACCGCATTTCACCATCAGTGCAAGCACACTATATTAAGCGGAAAATCTACTACTTCGACTGCAGCTTCAGTTAGAAAAGCCATCGTGCGCCGCTTCGCGCCGTTTGACTGCTAGACTATGAACTGTTCGTAATGCTCGTTTTATAGACTGTTGTTACTGCTTTGTATTGCTGGTACAACAGGATGAAGTATTTTCTTTGTTGTTTTATACAGTCACTGGAGTCTTCATCTCATTTTACACTACTTTGAAAGTATTCGTGTTTGTTTTCCTCGTATTTATCATTTGTCATTATGGCCATACCACAAAGATCTTTAGCTTGGATTCTCATCACTTCAAAAAATCACCTATCGGCCTCGTTACGTGCTCGTCCCTCCCATTCAGTCAAGGTATGCCTATACTACTACACTGCAGCTGAGCGTCATACTCCGTTTCGTTTTGACTTTTTTCTCGGACAGCCGTTGATGTTGTGAATTCATATATTGGCTTTGCGCTTACGTGTTTCATGTTTTTCAGTATGTGCGTTGGCACTCCATTTGCAAGTATACGATAGATAGAGGTTTTCGCACATATTTACTCAGGGATTACATTACTAGTGTTGTGCAGAATATTTGATAGATTTCGACAAAGTAAAAGCAGTAGCACATCAGCTCTTCGTTTATGTTTGAATTAATCATGCAGAGGGAAGCAGCAGAATTGCTTAGAGTTTTGTCTTCTTTGTATTTAGGGTACTTCAAAGCCAATTCGAGAATGGAATCTGTTAGCGCATTTAAATTCAGTCCATGTAGCCACGAGAGGCTATTTAGGATTTATGCTCGGACATATGAGGCAATAGTTGCTAATTTGAGCTGAACTTTTGAGTATGGCATTGGCGCTCTGTGAATTTCGAGATCTTAGGTAGGTGCCAGAGTAAGCGAATATTTTGTTCAGCTTCCTTCAGCTGCAGAAGGCGCGCAGAATTAATGTCTGCTGCATAATCTCTACTGCTGCTAAGTCCTGCTTCAGCTGCAGGTCCCGCGCAGATTTATCGTTATTTCTGCGCGCCTTTTGCAGCTAAGGCTGCGTTCATACTGATCCCGAAGTCTGGGAACAATTCCAGCACAGCGCTCAATTAAACACTGTGCTGGAACTGTTCCCGAACTTCGGGAGCATGAACGCAGCCTAAACGAAGGTAGGTGCCAGAGTAAGCGAATATTTTGTTCAAGTTGGGGTCCCGTGCAGAACTGGCATCACTGATCATTGTGGCATAATGCCAACTTGGCGTTGTGCCACAATGATTAGTAACGCCAGTTCTGCGCGGGACCCCAACTTGAACAAAATATTCGCTTACTCTGGCACCTACCGAAGCTGAACAAAATATTCGCTTACTCTGGCACCTACCTTACCAGCCTCATCGAGTACAAGATGCTCACATAGGCTGGCTCCAACTGAGCCTTTTGAGTCCGCGCTTTTTTGACGCTTTTCTCCATCAGCCACTTTCTAATATTCCGAGCGACTTTTTACGCTTTGTGGCACCCGTCGGTTCAGAGCGTGTCAAAATCAGGATGACTCTACATCTCTTTGAAACTAAACCGAGAAAGCATGATTAGTACATCGATGTGCGTCTGTCTTGCTTCATGTATCCTCTCTGTGTTGATGGAATTACCGCTTTACAATACGGTTGAAGAAAGATAGGGATTGTGGTGTGAGCGCTTTTGCTCGCACTTCATAAGCACCAAACGCTTGGGAATGATTAACGTGTCAAGAGATCGTGTTAATTTCTGTGCACATTACAGCCGTTTGTATGCATGATGTGCAACCAGTTTCTCTCAGAAATGATGCAAAACGACGGCACCTTTCTTTTGTTTAAGTGGTCGTCTTTAAACTTATTCATCTGTAAACTTATGCTGTCATTCACTGCGCATACAGATGAACAAGCGTTGAATGGGATTTTTTATCTCGGGAATAAAAGGAAGTGCTTTCATAATTTTAGGCCATAATCCTCTCAAATCCTTCCGCACTTCACGCATCCGCGGTCAATTGATGTCCGGATACTTGTTCTCCTTTGGGCGTAAAAAATTTTCACCGTCATCCGTGGTGGTGATTGTGTATATGTGCATAGATGAGGCTTTTATGTTGTCCATTAACACGAGCCGTCGATCTCGAACCTGTTTTGGACCTCACATTTGGCAATATCCAATCGATTACTGCGTAGAAGTGGGCGATGCGTGAATATAGCCATGATGTCGTCCGCTCCGATGAGCAACTACTTCGACAGGGCCGGAACCGCAAGGGATAGTGGGCACTAAAGGCTGAGCCTCAGACTGGTCCAGTCGTGCTTCGAAATACCTTCTGGTTCGACCAATCAGTCACGCTTCGCAGATAAATTTTTTCTAGGGTGAGGGGGGAGGAGGGACAAAGAATAGAGTTGAACAACTTTATTCTATCAATAAAAGAAGAGCCTTACCATTTTCCGAACTGAATTAATCTCTACAAAAAGCAAGCTTGTGTCAAAAATTTCATCTGATGCCCTGTGTTTCCATTTGATTTAGAAGTGCTGATTTTTTTAATCGTTCTATCCTTTGATCTTATTAATTTTCCCTCACGGAACCAGCGCTATCGGCTAGTAGGGTTTTAGCCGTATTGCTCAAACTTTTTGCAGCTTATCTTTTTCTCATCATACTTTCATTGTTGACCTTTCTTCTACCATTTTCTCAGCTGTCATCAATATTGTCCACCGCTATTCAAATTCTGCTTTGTATTCACAACATCTCAAGTTAATCTGTGAGATGACTCAACTACTTAGCGATACCGTTCTTTCAACTGCAGAGCGGATTAACGTACCACTTAAAGTTGTTGAGTCATTAAACTGAGATCGTTAGAACAAAGAAGTTAAATGTTTGATCACAGAACTTTTGTCTTCCGTTAACTCATGCAATCCGGATTCCCCAAACTTCCTCTTGCAAATAGTCATCAAACATTTGAGAGCAAATAAAAACACGTTTTCACTCACTGGGTGGCATGGATTTTGTGAAAGTTTAGGTGCGTGCGAACATATGACATAGCCACTTATGATATTTTCGTCCTACCATAAAACAAATCCCTAATGACAAGGAGCTAATCTATTAGGTAATAGAATAAAAATGAAAATAAAAAATAAAAACTCCGTTTCGTTCCTACCCTTAGACGGAGTAAAGGAATTATTAATAGCCCTCCCCGGAACTCCTCAGTAAGGAAGGAGGGCTATCTAATAAGTAAAAATTCACTTACCTGATTCTTTTGTGTCCTTGTCCGGTGATGGCATCCTGGGATGAAGTGGATGGGCGTAAAGGGTAACAAAGGCCGTATCATACAATATATATAGTACAGTACATACGGTACATATCTTGCATTGAACCAATCAAGATTCCAGGTACGGAAAATTTCTTTGATTTTTTTTGCGGTCTTTAGCCCTTTGTAAATTTTTGTCGGGCCCCTGTAGATATTCCGAGATACTGTCTGAATGCAGAGAGCTTGATGCAACTAACATCCGTGTGAACTTCTACGCTCGTTCGCTCACCATCGTTATTGCTCCACAGCGCTATTATATTCTGTCACTTCACACCTCCATTGTCATTCCTCGCCATAGCGAATTCCCAATATTCGTCCTCGCATCGATCGTTGGTTCGGGAGCGAGTCGCGCCTTATCTTCATCGCCTACTCCACTTACACACCCACTCAATCACCCACAGAGAATTGCGTTCTTGAGTCATTACTGTATAACCTGTTCCCCTGAGATTAGTCACCTATATGGGCGTGGTGTCCCAGCGGAGGTTTTGCCACCAACCAACTTAGCCCACCGCCCCTGTCCGTCTCCATTATATTTCACGCCCTGTGAAAAGGCCAACCGTCATTGCCGGGCGACGTTTTGTCGCCAGCTATCAAGGCCTTTCAAGGACAACTCCATGTCTAAGTGGATCACGATCGCCGACTCGAAGCACAGGACTCTGCTCCGCCCACTCGTCCATGACGGTGTTCTCTAGCTCTTTTTGTTAATTGGCCAAGGTTAATTATATAAAACCCCTTCACGGGAGCGACTCCTAGGTTGCTGCTGCTGTTTTGAGTCGATACCATGAGTACACTGGCAAACATCGAGTCTTGTTTACCTTACGAACTTCCTCACCTGTTGTCCGTTTTCTTCCTTCTCATTTTTATCACCTTCTATATCTGTGACTTTCCTAGTCCTATCTGTTTTATATAATCCATATGATAGTCAAGCATAACTCACTCAATTCCTGAGCGCTCTGTATCACAGTCTTGTCCGTTAATGGAGCTAAGCCCGCCATCTTCTAACTTGAGCTTATTCCAATTTTTCGATATCTCTCTCCCGAACGCACGAAATAACTGAAAAAGTACATTTTACTCAAAAACTCAAGTCTTTTTGCTCCATAGAATATGAAAGTGTTATATTCAAAACCCTTGTACGCCGTTCAGTATTCACTCCAAGTGCGCACTTAATCTGTCTAGGTTCGTCTAATTTGTCTCCATCAAAAGTACTGTTATTGTATCGAATGTGTGTGTGTCTCGAGAAGTATAATGACGAACTTTGAACGTGCTGTCGAAAGCCTCTTGGAACAGTAACGTTCGTTCTAAGTAAACAGTACTAGAACATTGAAGGTCAGAACACTCTGTACTTTGAGTAGATGATGATTTTCGTTCTGTCACCCTCATCTAGTTATTTGCAGGAGTAAACACTGGTTTCTTCAGAACTTCTCGCAAAAGCTAGTCATGGTAGTAGTGCAAACTTTGAGCGATTTTGAAATCTATCACTTCTCGTTTGAAATTTGGCTATGCACCCAAAGTGAAAGCTTATTTCTTCATTCGGATCATGCTGGTATGCTAAGCTGATGGATTTCGGTTAGTTAGTGCATACCGCTCGCTGATAATTGGTGGCTGAACCTCGTATCTTTCGAAATGTACAGCATCTGCGCAAATATAAAACAACTAAGTGTGGTTGCAAAAACACATGGAAGTATGTGGGTTGCTCTTCATGCGCTACGCCTACTTGAGTGGGTAAGCGTTCACCGACCTGCGCGATTCTCGTTGGAGCGCTCCGATCAGCCCAGCTACAATTCAGTAATTCGCTCTTGGCGGTTGCCGGGCGCATCAACAGCAGCAATTCTGCTCGCCATTCTCTCCCTCAGCGGATGCAGGTGTGCGGCTTTTTGTGGCGCCCAACGGCGGACGCGTTTCCATCCGAGGCTAATGATCGCTCGGCCGCGGTAGTTCGCAACTATCTTTTCGCTGCGCTCGGTGCCTGCTATCAGTGGCCGTACAATAAAGCACTTCAGTGAACTGCACACGTGCGATCCGTATGCCCTGTGAGCTCACGCACTCAATCGACCTCACACATGCCTTCCACTTGCATAACCCGTTCTTGTGAGGCGTATGTAACCTGTTATTCGAATCTTGTGCGGCACAGTGGCTGGGGAAGGACGTCGTTCCACTAATACCATCGGAATAGTTTGTTCAGTTGCGTTCGATGTGTATACTGCGGATATAACCCGTCCTCCACCTCCTCCTCCGCACCACCGGTTCCAGCGGCAACTCGGACAGTCGCGGCGCACTCATTTCAGAGGCAATCAGCGCTGTTCACTTTGGTCATTTCCTCCCATTCCTCTTCAACCGCGCACATTCGCTGCGATCCCGCCCATGCAGACATTCAACCAAAATTCAGGCTCCCTGTGTTCTTCGATCAACACACACTTCCCTGTGAATAGGTTACTGCTGTAGCGCACCGACGAACATGATATGTCTGATATTTGATCGCGGGGCGTAACCTATAGTAATCGGACGTAGTTGATTGATTGCAGGTGCGCAGTTTTGGAGGTAACGGACCGCCCTCTTCACCATTCTTCTCCACCATCTTCCACTAATGTCTTGCATTGGTTCTCGTGCACTTTTCCTCGCCCTTTCGAGCGTCAAATCATTTCCCAACGTTGTTTGCTTTCACACATCCTATCCACATCTCATCTTTTATTAGAGTAGTTCTATCCATTGCTGTGTCCATATCACTCTGCACTGAAGTGCATGGTTATTTTTAGTGTGGGAAAAACCTTTCTTTCTGTGTTCATCAGTTTGAGTTGTTCAAAAATGAATGCCATTTTCCCCCAAGATGTGTGACAACTTTGAATTTTCATCCGTTGCTGCGCTCATCTTATTCCTTTCAATTGATCCTATCATTTGAGAGAACGTGCGTCGTACTTTTGCTTAGTTCGAAGGAAATCGGCCGATGCTAGCTTTTGGAACATCGTTATTGGATCTGCGCGGCTTTATGAGGCAGCAAAATGCCAATTCGATTCATAGATACTTGATGCGTTTTTGTCCGCGCCAAGCCTGCTTTGATTTAATGAGATAGAAATCGCGGAACTGATGGTTTGTTCGTCTTATCCTACTTGAATGTGATTGACGGAGTCTAAATTTTTTCATTAATTGCAAAAGACATTAAAGAGCATACTTGGTTGATTTGTTGCCCCACTGGTCTAACTCGTCTCACTTGGGCACTAGAAGCTTCAGAAGAGCTACGGGGTTTTTTTGAATCATCAAATATCTGAGATGGCAGTGTTGAACAGGTTCAAACGCTAATAGTCATCTAAATCAAAGTGGCGAAGACACTTGTTTAGTTAACATGTAATTTTGCGCATTTATGAATGTGTGTTTGTGACGTGGACTTTTTATATTCTGTGTTGACGCACTGATAACGATAATGTGTACTCTCAAAGGTGTTGCGTAGTAAGCAGCATTCCTCTCTCCGAGATATTTTAGTCTGAACGTCACTTCTCGCAATCAGATCATTTTTTTGGTAACTACATGGTTTGTTGTCGAGTTTACTTTTTGATTTATGAATTCTGCACTGTCTTTGATTTAAAGTGAGAATAGAATCTGAAAAAGAGGTAGTAAGCTATACTTTATATCGGCACGATGTAATTCTCTCAAATGAACTCATCTTGAGACTATTTTTGCTCTTAATAGCAGTTTAGGTTTAGCATGGTCTAGCCTTCTTCTCTAAGAACTTATCAGGTCGCCGCCCGTCACTGAAGTTTTTTGCACTCCTTGCTGCCAATACATCGAAGAGTTGCATGGAATGGGAAGACTGGTGATGCAGCCATAATATAACTATACTGCTTCTCTATGTTAGTTCTCTAGCGCTTCTGAGATTCAGAAAGGAATAGGTGATCCGAAGGTGTGACTAGCCGCGCTGGTGACAACGTCGTTTATCAAAATCGCTGCTTCGTGCCGGCCGAATTACGACGATTCAGCGTTGTGCACGGGCGTCTTTTTTCAGAGCGAACTATTCAAAACAGAACTCAGCCAACAAAGCGCCTCATGTTCTCGCGATTTGCTCAATTGCGTTGCGAAAGTCGATCGTTTATTAAGTCGGACCGTTGTTCACCTTTTCAGTTATAGCGCCGGGCGTTCAATCGAGCATCCATTCATCTGCGCGCACTTCCCAAACGTTGTGCATTTGCGGCACTCGCTTTGTGTGTTGTTGCGTTTACGTGTGATTTGCGCGATCCGGGCACATTTCAATGACATCTTTGCAGCGCCGTCCACTTGTCTCAGATTATGGACTCCACGGAGGAGCAGCAGCCTGTCGTTCGCATGCGTGGACGACCACTGAACGAGACGAACGCGAACGGAAACAGCAATGGAAACGGTTCGCCGAATACTGCCATCCAGCGAGGACTGGAAGCGCTGCAGGAGAACTGCTCTGAGGAGACTGAGGGTAGGTGAACTCCTCATCTTGTCACAATACCAAGGGTAACTGGTTCTGTCCTGAGTGCTTGTACCTAGTCGTTCCTGCTTAACAGTGAAGCCACCAGTGCCATTTGTAGCTGATCATCCAATTAAGACAGCGTCTTTTGCTTGTAAAGTAATTCGAAATAATCATTCTGGTCATACTTAGAATTAATCACTCTGTCTTGCATCTTTATCTAAATAGGCTAAACTTTTTTTCTTCTTCGTTTCCGAAGTCTCACAAGATGTTATCATAATAAAACGATCTATCAATTTTTCTGTTTTGCGCAACACAGTTTTGCTGAAGTCTGCAAATATACTGTTTGTTTTCGAGAGCGTTTGGCTCAAGTGCTGTGTAAACATTTGGATGCTTGTATTTTGGCGTTGATAGATTGCACTTTTGATTTGGAAATATTCCGGCACTCCAAAGAATTTGAAACGTTTGAACTTGTATCGGTGGTATCCGTAGACCTAATCAAAGTAAAGGTGCTAGTTCCGTGGCTTTCTATGTCGAAATTTTCAGGAAGGTCTTTTCATGTTTTTTGGCGCTACTATGGCCTCTTATGTTCCAGAGATCCGCAAACTGGACTCTCAGCTAGACCACCTGAATGACTACATGTCAAAAATGGAAGAGCGGCTGAAACTTCATAATGAGAAGCTGATGGAAACGCTTCGGCATCAAAAGGAGGAACGCGAGAAACGTCGGCGTAGCTTCCACGAGGTCAGAGCGAGTTCATTTCTGCTATGAGCGCGCTGCTCGAAACATGTATCTTTTCAAGTCCTTGAAATTTGACCTTACAAAGTTTTTTTTCTCACTGACTTCTTCTTGGGAGCACCCGGGTTATCGGCCGGTTGATTGATTGGAGCGTTCGGCCTATCGTCAGTAGGTTCGCCGTTCGCTGTGTTGGCCTAGAATCTGGTTGTTGCACAACGCTGTTTTTGCGGGATCATTACTCAGCTGATAATTGCTGCACATCTTTTAGCTGTCTTCTAGAAGACAGAGGGTTGTAGAAGAGTTACTGGCCAATGTTCAGCTCCATGCTTTTTCCTCGTGATAATGCACTTTAGTGAAGTGCGACTGTAACATAAATGGTACATTCAAGATGAACGGGTTCGCTGCTCATTTAAAGCGTGATCGTAGCTTTTTTCGTTAAATGTGTTCAAGGGGCAGGATTTCTCCAAGGCAATGTCATAAATCTTGTATCAAACTCGAATTTGTAATGCAAATTCGGCGACGGACGTGCTTCACCCTTTGCGGCGAATCCTTCGTCTGTCTCGTTTTTATCGTCACTATAACTGCTGCCTAGTGATAGAAATTATTGAGCGGCAGCCTGCTGTTTCAATGAGCTTGAATTCTGCATCTGAGCTTCAGAGGTTTCGGAGCTTATGTGCAATTTTTTTTCATCCCAATGCACTGCAAATCAGTGTATGGAGCCTTATCATAAAGCTACCTGTTTTTAGTGACGAGATTTTGGGGTAATTGACATTAAGTACGCTAATGGAATTTCAAAGAAAAAGAGTAAACATCGTTGCCACTTTCACCTTGTTAACTCGCCAGTGTTCCTACAATAAAGTTTTTCCTGTAATATCAACTAGCGCAGTTATTTGTATAGTTGACAAGTGTTTACAATGAAAGCGGTATCACGTGGTTCACAAGTTCATGATTGTACTTGGTTGGGGTATGTCAATTTCATTACAGGTTCGAGATACACTCATGCCCTAGTTGATCACAGAAATAATCAAGTTTTTGATGAATTTTTGTGAAAATGACTCATATTTCAGACTCCTATTTCAGCGTATGACGCAGAACCAAGCGGAAGACACAGCATTTCAGCAACAGATGGCATCGATCTTGAATCGCGTGGATTCGGTACGTAATCGACAATCTATCTACGATATAGTTAACAGTATGGACATTCCTAAAGTACACAAGGTTTGAATACTGTACTGACAGGCTGCCATCATCGTGTTAACAATTTTTTCCTATATTCATGTCGACTTCGTTAATCAAATTCGGCTTTTTTTGAATTGCACTGACATTTCGTTAGCGTTACGTGCAGTACGGAAGATTCACTTGTATTTTCAATTTTTTTCGCATCATTTCAGAGAGTGTTTCCCAGTCTGTTTACGGTGAAAATGCCCAGTTAACTTATTGTGCAGATTTTTCACTCATTCGTGTCCTTCTAGCTTTCCGAACACTGTTCCTGTTATGTACATTCATCATTATCCCAATACTGCATTGCACGCAAGTATATGTTTGAAAGTCCACAGAATCAAAGATTTTCAATAAAAATCGCATGTAGTGTTTTTTTTTCAGACTAAGGAATCCTCTGCTTGGTAAGACTTCTAGAAATAATCTACTTGTTACTTCTGTTGAGAGGCTTGTCGTATACGAGACCTCTCTCGTAGCAAAGTCGATTGCTGATATCTGATAGACACGAATGACTTGACTGTATCTAAGGATCTGATCTGCTTATCAAGGTATTGGGGGAAAATCGTCTTACCGCAAATGTATCTGATGTATAAATAATCGAGTTCAACAGTCACACCTTCCTACAGCATGGAAAAGGTTAGGAACCCCATAGAGCTTCAGATCTTGATACTGCTCGATATCATTCCCTTTTTTCGCAATAGTCTTCATTGAACAAGTTTTCTTCAACAAATGGAGCATTAACCGTTCATTCTCGAAACATTGATTAGTATAGCTCAAGGCCATTCTTTCGTGAAACCGTATCTTTGACATTCTATTAATACTGTGACTTCCATGCACCCTTTTTGTCACCACTGTGACAAAGAATTTATGAGTCATTTGCGTTGACTTCCTGTTTGAATAAGGATTCGTTGAGGTTGGCTACATAGACTGAGCAAAAAATGGTTTTTGGTTTGCTTTGTTTGTTTGCATGATGCACAGCTGAATACCGGCTATAACGCCCGCACACATGTGCGCTAAGTAGATTGAGCTGACAGTTTACCGAGGGGGTGGCAGGACTTAGGCTCGTATCAATATATAATGTCTTTTTTGAACCGAAATCAAGCGCTGTGGCTCAGATGTGTCTTGGGGCATACCAAGGAAAATTCATTCTGACAATAATCGTTTGTTGAGCGATTACCCTTATGGAAAATGTCACAGTATACTTGTAACATGATGAATTGCCTAAATTAATGACTCACACACTTCGCTCGAATGTCCCTAATTTACGACCTAAATACCTTCGAAGAGGTCATGGCGCTACTTGCAGTGTTCGCTTGATTTGCAGGGGAATTTTACGATAATGTTTTTTCTTGATAAAACAGTATCTTGAAGAGAATAAATCAAGGGGACTTGTGTCCAAGTCAGTCATACTGCGCTGTAACGAAATACACATGAATAAAACAGTTTTCAGTAGAAACATATGCGCTGCATCAAGGTGTACATATTTCGGAAAAGTTCTGAGTAAAGTTGGATAAAGTTGCGAGTTCTAGGCACCTCTTCATGGACATATGGACATATCTCAGTTTCAATATCCTTTCGCACATGCTATAGCACATCGTTTGAGGAAGACTAGCCTGCAAAAGTATGGCTCATCGGTCCACTGCAAAGTGAAATTGCTAAAAGGTGGTATCTAGAGCGACTCGTGAGCAGTTCACAACAAATTGAGATATTTCACCATTTTAGGGAATCTCTCTCGAGCAGGAGCTGTCATGTGGGAAATGAATTTTCTGTAAATTACAGTGACATGAGATGCGCTTCTACTTTGTTTATCTAAAGGCTAGAAGATCTGACGCTTGATGTGATGCACTCCGTGCCGAAATCTGTCGCAACATTTGCGCGTGCTAAATGCCGGCATCCCAAGCATATAGGGCATTCGAAAAATCGTGAGATGGCGCGACCGCGCGCGACACGCGCGCACCTTCCGGCAACCGCATTTTCTTGGTTTTAATCTCTACTCGACTGGTTTCTCTGCTTAGGTATGATAGTACTTGGACACTGGAAGTGACTGATCTGAGCGTTGAGGTGATGACTTTCTGTATGAGAGTGCTATGCTCCTGTGGGCGCAAAGATCGCAGTCGAATCCGTCGTCACGATTTTAATCAACTTTAGCTGTTTGTCTACGCGCAAACTTTGTTAGCAAATCTCGGTGGCGTAGGGGCACCATATTAGGCGCCACATCTATTAGCCTGTACTTTTATTTGGTGTGCGCTTGCATACATCAGTGGCCAGATGTGCTTGGCTAAGCTCTGTTTTGCTGCTATAGACGTTTGTAGGACGTGGTACAGTCATTCTTGTTTGGACCATAAACCATGGAATGGAGAGAGCTATCAGGTCAAAATGAGTTCGAGTATTTGCTGAAGGTACTAAGCTATGGTCATAAAATGTGCCCTCGTGCTGGGTACCTTCCATAAAAGTCTCCCAGAAAGGATTTGTGCACCTTTTAACAGGTAATAAGATATACTCCATACAGTATATAAATTAAAAACCTAGTTGCTGGATGATGATCGAACAGTGCGGTTTTACCATGGAATAGGGTAGCACTTTGCGTGGCAATTTTTGTAAACTCAAAAAGTAAGATTGAACATCAGTTATCTACTGATGATTCTTGAATTTTTCCGAGCGCAAATGCATGTAGTAAGATCCAAACTTCCTTTGAAATTTATTTCACTTAGAGAAGAAAATATGGGAGAATGCGCACTGCGTTCTTTGCTGTTTTCACAACGTCGAGCGTCGGCGCACGGTCATATCCTACTTACTTACTTTTAGGCCGGTTTACATTGAAAATTGTCCCCATTGACGTTATGGTGTGCAAGTACTTTGGTCTTGCCTACTGCGTATTACTTTGGCCGAAAAGAGGTTTCTTTTTTTATTGGTATGCGAATTCTAGCTGGGTTTTGGTTGGAGCTGTATATTACATCTCAAACCTGTGCAAAGCGTCTGGATATGAAAGAACGAGAAGAAGAAATGAAAGAGATCGATTTGAGATATTTGCATGGAAATCAGCTAGTAAACTTCTTGTAGTGAAAGAGAGATTAGAGCAGATTTGTGTTTGTTCAGATAGTAGATGATCTGTCTTTACACATCAAGGCTTCAGCACTGAAGATTAAATAAGAATAGTTGCAAGATGTCTCATCACTTTATGCCTGAAATGAGCTAACTAAATTATTCCTCGCAAACGTCTGGGACCACTTTTTAGGGTCAAGCTTATGTTTTGTTGAAATTAAGTTTCAAGCAGCCAATCAAACGAAACAAGTTCTAATTTCTGATGAGGTTCCAGATATTGACTCGCGCTCTTGATATAAATATTGCATCTTGTTTTTCCTGTCCACAGTGGTAGAGGTGAAGTGTTCTTTCGATGATGGTTAAGATAGGATGGTTAAGCGATTCTGATTAATTTTATTTCAAGAGGGAAGGTCAGGGTTTGTAGACCAGCGATCACATTCGTAAACACCGGTTTTTCACATTACACTTGAGGCCAATACACCAAATTTCAGATTTCAAACTTAGTAATCAAATTATCAGTGGTTTGATATGAAACAAACTTTAAGGAGTACGATGGGGGCTTCATAAGAACAAGAGGCAGTTTTACGAGTTTTACTCATGCCGTGTAAGACCTTTGACTTGATTAGTACCTCCTAGTTGAAGAATGGGGGAGTAGAGGTCGAACGATCTGTTCAATGTTTTACGAAAACATATAGGTTAGATTTTAAAATAAATTGCGAGAGAATAATACAAAAAAAAAAGAAACGAAGCAACAAGTTGCAAGAATGCTGGTGTTACGGGATGGTATCTAGCATTCAATATAAGGGAAGAGTAACGAGAAATATAGACAGTTGAAAGATCAAATTTAGCACTCCTTTAAATGTATATTTTCGGTGTATAATTTGATCTCGCAAACAAAAGATGAATGAAATTTGGAGATCCCGATTAGTGCCTTTATGTGCGGAAGCCCATGACGTGTTTTCTTTTTTTCTTCTCATTTTCTCTCATCGGTGTGTTCATTTTTCGTAATACTGCTACTCTTGGCAATGGCTGGACTCAGACTACAGTTCATAATCTCATGCTTCGTCTCTTATCTGCTTCTTAGAAACTGCACCCATTTCGTTCAGAATTGTCGATAAAGCAGAAGTCACTCCGGCGGTTGTAGCATAATCCAGGGAAGGACTAAGCAGAAATAAAAATAAACAACATGTGTTCTCGCCGCGACCGCATTCCTGATTACGTAGAAAAATTTCCTACCATGAATGACAGCTACTCCAAAAGCTGGAGATTGCATATGTTCAATAGTGCTAAGGTCGCTACATATTACTACAAATAAATAGCGGCCCTCACCAAAATCTCCCAAATGAACAAAAATAGACCTTATTCCAACTGCGAAGTTGACTTATCGCTTTCCAAAACTGATTTCATCTTAGAGGGAAGTATACTCACATAAAATGCCTATTAATGGAGAAGAAAGTATTATCAGGTCGTCTCATAATTAACGCGCGTTTTTTGAATTTCCACTTCTGATCAAGATAATTCTTTTCCAAAACCATCTTTTTGAGCCCAATAAAATTACTGCAGACCAAACCTTTGACTATATAACGCATGCTTTTGTTGGATCGTAGCCATTCTGAAAAATATTTTCTAGCATAGACTTCTAAACGTTATTCTAAAAACCTAGACTCTAAGAGAGATTAACTTGCCTTAACACGTTGACGACAAGCCATTTTTTGAAGGTCTGTCCCTGTGGACGAACCGTTTCCGGGCATTTTCACAGCCGGCTGCACATATGTATGCATGCATCTATACGTGAGATACACAAACGCGAGTGGGCGGGGCAGCTCCGCCCACTTTTGGCAAGCCCCGCCCACTTTTTAAAAATGCTGGAAATTGCTCAAAATCAATGAATTCGTGCAAATTCCGGCATTTTCAAAAGTGGGGGGAGCTTGCCACTAAGGGGGTGGAGCCTGCATTACGGGGAGGCGGGGTCAAAATTGAGATTATTTAAGGTTCCTCTGTCATCTATGAGCTTTTCTATGCGATTTGAGAACGAAAAAAGTTTTTTGTATAGGGCAGTGGAGTGGGCGGAGTCTGCCAAAAAGGGGGCGGGGCCAACATGAAATACTTTCGAGCCTAACTCGTTTATGAACACGAATTGGAACCATTGTGCACATTAAAACTGATGTTTAGGGTGTCGCGCACCATTGCGCGACATCGTCCACAGGGACAGACTGCCTGTCGCGCACCATTGCGCGACACCGTCGTCAACGTGTTAAATGTACTAGGATCGCGTAAAGTTTGCTCATTATATAGCCGATGTAAAGTTTGGATTTTGTGACATTTTCCTACGAGAAAATTTCACAAAAAATTCAAAAACATTCACTCAGCATTTTAGAAACTCCAAAAAACAGCCTTTTTGGAATTTTTAATTTCATCTCCTTGAAAGAACGAGGAAATGCTGCCGTTTTCCTAGCATTAGTTGTACTAGGTCCACTCTAGGTGAACATGATGAATTTTGTACAGTCGTTTTTTGCTTGAAATTTTTATGCAGCATAAATGGGCCTCAGAGCCAAGTTTGAGACAAGATTTCTCGGCTCAGGCTCCCAAAAATAATATTGACAAGTTTGTAGGACAAAACTTCGCAATCATTATGCATTTTTTTGAAATGAATCCGTCTATTTTTCATGGATTTAGAGCGACAAGTGAAAAGGAAAGAATTTCTTATTTTAGTCAATTCTGATTATCTTTGAAGGCATGAAACTCCGGTTTGAACAGAGACTTGCGAAAACGAAAGCAGTCCATAATAAATTTTGTAAGGAAGGGGACAAAAATGATGTAGTAGAAAAAAAACGATATCAGTATCTGTGTTTGGGAAAAGGACCATAGAGACCTATTTAGTCCTGTAGACATTTTGAGTGGAAGTGTGTTACCTCGGAAATATGGTTGCAGCTCTGAATCATTGACGATTTTGTATGACTCTTAGGTAGCTTTATTTGTGTACATAGAGGATGTAAGTGGGGCTGTGGTGAGAATTTATTTGAGGGCAAACAGGGTAACGCTTGAGATTGCTCTATCGCGGTTTCACCTGTCTGTGTATGGTCTCACTAAGTTCCTCCTATACGACTAGCACCGGATCATGAGTGTGCCTGTGCAATGGACCAATTAGAGCAGTAGATTGACGCTCCGTGCATATGCGACGACGACATTCGCGCGACAGCTGCAATGCTTGGAAATGGCGACAATCTAACTTGCTTCTTGCGCAAGAATGGCTATAGAGCGCAATGCCAATGTTCACTTTTCCACGATACGAAAAAACCATACACTTCAAAACTGCTCACAATGGAGGGTCACGAAGTCGAAGTGGCCGATCACCATAAACTGTATAAATTTAGTGAGAGCTTGAGAGCTGATTCCAATTCTGCTTTTCGTATTTGCAGAGCACTTCTGTGAAAGAAGTTATGAGCATTTATTGAGGCAAAGACTGTTTTTGGAATGAAATCAACCGTTATCCTTCCTAGACATCACCTGGAGTAATAGAAAGTGATGATTTACTAGGTAGTATGAGTTCATTGTATATTATCTTGACACTTGCCGCTACTTCATTTAAATTCTAGAGAAGCAGCAATTGATTTTATACCGAAATTTGTTCATTTTTTCCGCTAAAAAAATGCTCATTATTCCTTCCCCATGTGCGCTCTGCAAATAGGAAAATTAGAAATGGAATCAGCGCTTCAACCTCTTACTAGTGGTATGCAATTTGTTTTGATCGGCCACTTCGACTTCATGACCCTCCCTTATCAGTGAACTCCTGCTATTCTCGTTCTTACATCGTTACATCGTATGTAAAAATAAGCGTTTTTTGTGAAAAAGGAGCATCAAACTTCAAGCACTTTTAAATGCATTATTTAACTATTTGTCGAAAGCAAGTGAGGTTGAACCAGTTGGCTACGCTGTTCAAACAGTATGCTTGGAGTCACCTTGAGCGACAGATAGAAGACGGTGAGCCTATCAAATGTAAACGAATGGAAACAAAAAATGGAGTTACGCTGGCCATTGCTTCACGAAGGGCACTAACAGAATTCAAAGTGATTGCTCGGAAGGGAAAAGAGTGAGGTCCACAAATCTCTAAATTAAAGCACTCGTCATAATCAGTGCTTCTTCGATGACTAAAAATGCAATCTAACGATCATGTTCCATTCTTATGTTTGCTTGTGTCTTTTACCAATTGCAATCGCTGGGCATGCTCATGCTTTGCTGAAAGTGACAGTTCCATCTCTGAATCGGATTACTCGCTCGAACTAATTTTGCTCGCTACGATTAGAGCGTGCTTTTATCAGTCTCCTGTGACACCCGCACAAAAAACCCCAAAGAAAACGAACAAATGAGCTAGAGATGCTTCTTTGCGTACTCTTAGATACCACTTTTGGTTTTCAAAGGTCCGTGGTCATTTCGCTCTTTTCTTTCTGAGCGAATTATGACAGCAATAAGTTTGAGGAGATGTTTCACGTATTGTTCATGCACAATCTTCGAATGTTTCAATTGACCCCTATAGAAAATATGAAGTACTACTGAATTTTGCAACTATGGAGCTAAAGATAGCTTCTGTGCTTTAGCATAAACTATAATGTATTGGAACGTGTTGAGACATGTTCGCAGTGACGCGTGCGTCGCCATGAGCGTCGCGTGCGCTGTCGTTCCTGCCTTCCAAATGGTTCATCTCCAGCATAACTTGGTGGTTGCGCGAGTAGCTTGCCCTGTCAAATTCACGAATTCTTTAGCTTACTCATGCGTTTTTCTGTGTAGTCCAGACTCATAAGTATGTTCTTATTATTATCCGTGGAAAACGCCGTTTACCATGTGCAATTTATTTAGTTTCATCTCTCCACATATAATCAAAATGAGTTCAAGAGTTTCATATTTTTCATTTGCTCATACACAGGTGGTCTACTTTGTCACTGAATTGTTCATTTTGGGTTCGTTATGAATTGCTATGTTGGGACATACATATCTGTACGTTGATACTCTTCTAATCGATTGCAATGTTCCTGATTTCAACATTTATGTTTAATCTTGACACATAATGCGTGCAGTCGGCCGCATTGCATTTCTTCTGTAACATAACTCTGCTAATGAGTCGTATTTTCGCTTACCCGCAATACTGTCACAGACTTCGCAACACACTGTTGCGAATAGTTCGGCTGCAAGTGATATCTGATCATGGCGCAAATGCCGCATAAGTTTTTGCCGATCCGGTTTTACTAGTTCTGGAGCAAGATGTCGTATCGAACAGAGTAGATGTTTGTCTTGACTCTTGATGTTCCTATCGTTGTTGGTTGTTTTACTTCGCTTCTCTTTTACTTGGAACTACCACCTTGATATTTAGTAATGGCTCGTGGACATCAAAAGATCCAGTCCCAGCAGAAAGCTCAGAAGCGCGCTGAGGCCCTCAAGAAAGCGCAGGGATGCGATCAGAAAGGAGCTGCGCAGAAGGCTCTACACCACAAATGCACGGTCTGCATGGTAAGCTCTCTTTCATATCATAAAATTGTACGGATATAAGTTGTTACATAAACCATATATGTTCATAGGCAACTAATAATCGGATTCAGATTCGCATATCCTGTTCTGCTTACTTTCTTTGCTCTAATGTCTTGACATATCTCACTGTAAAGCTTTCACAAGGTCTTCTGAACCTATTAGGTTCCTCATTGGTTCGCACATGCGAATCTGTTGTCCGAGCTGTTGTCACATGAGACGAAGTCGTAGTTCTTTGTAGCCCGTTATTCTCGAAATTGAATTTGATAAACGATCATGTGTCATGCGTTATCATAAACACATGATGCGTTATCGTCATTTCGAAACAAAAGTGTTTTTCCCGGCGTACTTTTTGTCCTGAATGCATACCATATCCAATGTTTTCCTCATTTTTTGCACAAATACTTTGCAAAGCCTCGAAAAGGAGACGAAGAAAGAAAAAGAGAGTCTATTTTGAAAATATGAGGGTAGTACAGTTGTGTGAGCGTCAGAATGAATGTTTCAGGCGCAGATGCCGGATCCAAAGACTTACAAGCAGCATTTTCTCAGTAAGCATCCTAAGGCACCTCTTCCAGAAGAACTGGTCGATGTCCAGGCTTAAGAAGGTCACTTCTGCATATGGCTTAGGAGGTTTTGTATACATGTGTTGCCTCCTCTCACTACCTTTTCAAATCCCATTGTTCCTGATATAGAGGTTTTCTGGCGTTTCATCCGGTGTAGAAAATGGGCTTATGGTCAGATGCGCCTCTCAGTCAGGTTCGCATGAACGATTCAAAGTTGTTGAAATTCGCATATTTTCCATCTCTGGTTTCATGAGGGCTGATTTAATCCAAAAACAAGTTCCATGCTGCAGTTTAGTTTCATTTTGTTTTGTCTTTCTCCTAATTATTTCATACAGAAGAAGTTGAAATAATGTATCTAGTAAATGCTTTTGAGTGTTCATCATTTTTGAGTTCTATCTCTATGTATCACTTGCTGTCTATAACGAGTTGTTTGTTTGTTTTGTTTTCGTTTCGGTGATTAGGTAATCTTTCGATGAGAGAATGGGCCCGCTTAAGAGTGCAGATGTAATGGTCCGCCATTTGCATGTACTTGAAAATAAAGTGACTAACCTGAAACTTTAAGATATCCGGCAATGAGTAAATGTGGAGAAATCATAAAACATATTCAAGGGCTCCCATGTTCTCTCGTTTTCCGCAAATCGCTGTTTTTTTGCGTTGCCTCTGTCAAGGTAAGTTCAGGGAATTTTTCTTGTAGGGATATAAAATTGTGTTTTTTCGCGATACTTCATAATACTGTTTTTGGGTAAATTTGATGTAAATATACATTTCTTCTAGTTTTGTCCTTGAGCAATCAGAAGAGTTGGAGATACATATCTTCACATACTTGGTCTTTTTTTTTTGGCGGAGTTCACACGTTGCCCGTTTTATCAAGGGAGGGTCAGGAAGTCGAAGCCAATCATTACAAGTTGTGTACTATTAGTGAGAACTTGGAACGCTGAATCGAAATCTGTTTTTCCGCATTTGCAGAGCGCTTCTGGGAAAGAAGTTATGGATATCTTTTAGAGTCGAAAAATAAACTGATGGCTGTAATAAAATTATCGTTGCAACTTTTCTAGAAGTCAAATGAGAAATAGGAAGTAGCGATATGCTACCCAGAAGGAGTTTATAGTAAAAAGCATGACGTTTGTTGTTGCTTCATTTGAAGTTCAGAGAGACTGTAGCAATCGATTTTGTCTCGGTTATTAGTTCATCTCTAGACTTCAAATATGCACATAACTTCCTTCCCAGAAGCGCTCTGCAGATAGGAAGAGCAGATTCGGAAGCAGCGTTCAAAGCTAACACTAATAATAAGATAGTAGATCGACCACTTCGAGGTCGTGACCCTCGCTTGTAAGAAAGACGTCCACCACTCATAGGGTTCTAATGTCGTGAACATTGGCTCTCCCCATGTGTTTATTCCGATATTTTGCGCTGCTATACTGTGCGAAGCTTCTGTGCTATCTATACGCATGACACGTTCTAAAAGCGTAATGATCTTCGGTCGGCATACCACTTATGTTTGCCATGCATGACATTCTGAATGGGTGACGTATTAGTTTTTCAAGTAAGGGGCATAGATGACTGTGACGCTCTAGCTCATAATCTGGATGCTTGAGTGAGTAGAAATAAGAACATTTTTGAATTGGCTGGTCAGGCGAGATGTCACACTTCTACTTTCATACAAGACCATCTTTTGGCCACTCTATCACTACCAACTGATAACTGTAGTTTGTTAAGGCTTATATATCTGAGTGTCAGAACCGGCTACTAAACTCTCGTGTCCCTCTTTCAGGGCCTTGCAGTTTGCGGGAACATCTTCTGGACATTTTCACGCGTTTGAGCAGCACCTAAAGACCAGCGAAAGTAGGAAATTGCCCAGGAGATCGCGAGCGCGATGCAAACGAGGGGCGCGAGGACCCAAGTTGCTAGATTTGTGACACTCTCATTGGGACAGCCTATACAAGCGCAAGAACGAGCATGTGACGCTTGCGCTATTCAAAATGTCACTGCAGAGACACCATTTATGCGGTGCAATGCTTGTGGCAACAAATGCGTACAATTTCTAGTTGCCAAATTAGCGACAACGGCAACATGCGAAAAAGGAGATAACGTAAAGGAAATATCCACAAGAAATTTCCGGGGTTTGGATGTGGGTCATTGAATTAGAGACGATACAATGCCCAGACAACGCTCGCAGATGGGCTGCAAGGGCTTCGAGACTGGGGTGCGCACATTTACTACTTCCGAAAAGGAGATGGCTTTTACGCGTATAGGCCACTGGTTCCACGGTAAACACAGTGTCCGCACGGTGCCGGGTTCGGGCTGCATTTGCGCTTGAAGCTACAGGCCCCGTAAAGTCCAATTGCCCACGCTTGCTTTGAACACCAAGGCGTGGCGCGGCTGGGAACGTTTGGTCCCGAAGCGCTACAGGCTTTTTGCGAGCGACAATGAGCGCGCACCCTTCCCACACATACTTTTTTAAACTTGTTAAGGGAGCTTTTGTCAAGATATACCTTGCATTGACGAGAACAACATGAAAGCTAAAGAAAGATTTCCTGGAATATAGTGAGCGCCGACAGTCGTTCGCGACGACCGCTCGCTTACGCTGGTGTTCAAGGCACGGCGCGGGCAATTAGGTTTTACGGCGCCTATACGCCTGTAATGCAGACTACTTGCTCCAGCAGATTGCGCGCATCTGACTATCTCTTCGCACGCTAATTTTACCGCAAAGCCTTGGCACTGCAAAACACACTAATATTAAGCGGAAAATTATTGGAATGAGTACTGCAATAACAGCTTGCCGTCGCTAATATTCTTCAAAGGTCCGTTTAGACCATAGTCTTACAAGGAACCGATTCCAACTCAAGGTGGCGAACTGGAACGAACCGCATATTAGAATGCGTCTTGATGAGCTGAATCCAAATGTACCTTCCATACTTGCGCTGTCTTTCTCTGGTAGTTATGAGCGGTTGAATGTGTGAAGTCATTTGGGTTTCGATGTATAAAGTGCTCTGATATCCAATTTGGAATTACATGAGTGCATGATATTGAGTGTACTAATTTCAAGGACTGTTCGCATTCAACGGAAACAAAAAAGTGTTTGTGATCAACTAATTCTAGAGGTATGGCGCTGTATACAGCCTGCCCCAATCCCGACTAGGCCAAAATTGGCATGGCGGGAGTCCGTGTTGATAGGGTTTCGCGGTTACGCCCACGCTTTCAAGTACTTATTTGTGTTTGATTGTGAACATTCCTTGAGATTGGTACACTTGATATCATGCTAGTCATGTACTCTCAAGTTGGATAAAGCACGTTATGCTTGAAACCCCAATGACTTCACATTTTTAACAGCTCATAGCTTCTTTCAGAGAAAGGCATCGCAGATAAGGAAGGTAGATTTGGAATCAGCTCAGCAAGACGCATCTATTATATGCGACTTCCAATTCGCCACCTTAAGCTGGGAGCGTTACCTTGTTAGCGTATCAGTCAACTTGAAGACGGTGGTTGATGTGTGCTTTGAGTAATTACGATCGGGACCCGGCACGAATCCGTTTCTAGGCTTTTTGAAAACGAAGTTCCTCGTGATTTTCGCAAAAATTAACGAAGTTCCCTTTGACGCAAAATCGAAAATTCGACTAAAAACCTAGTTTTTGTGTTTTTTCGTACCCACAAAAACGATACTTCCTTTGTTTTTTCGCAGAGAAAACGAAGTCTAGCCTGCTCCCGAACGATCTGTGCCGGACCCTGATTACGATCTAGCAAGACATCGATCCTGTTTTTTCTTGTTCATGGATCATAACAGTTGCCTCTAGCAATGGATTTTTGAGACCTTAGTGTTCACATGAACGCTTACAATTAGATATTGAGCTTTGGCTGGACATTGAGAAAAACCATGCACGACCTCTTCTTTACACACTGAGATTGCCAAATCCTGACGGCGAAGTTTGAGATGTAAAACACTAGTAATTCCATAACGTTAAATCAAAATACTTTTTCATTTTCTTAAAAACTCAAACAAGTCATGTATTGATTCTTGAGATGCAGGGGTCTATGGTCTGAACAGGGAAAGAAAATTATGAGCAGCATGGGTACTAGGCGATATCACTACGGTTTTTTGTCTACAAATTCCATGTTTGCTGATTCGGTGAAGGAAGTTTATTTTTGAATCACAGTAACATGTTCCGTTCCGGTGTAGCAGTGTCGTATAAAATGAAACGATAATCATGATTATATACATGAAACAAATATTTTTCAATCAGGTTTGAACCCTAAAATCTTAACGTCTGTCACATTGATGGTGCGACACTAGAAGCTTCTGGTTTACCATTTGAGGATGCATGGAACCTTCTCCATTGTGTTTTTGCTCTAATAACTAGGTGGAAGGGGCGTGCGCATTATATACTGCAATTAACATTTTTCCATTAAATTTACGCTGTACGGTGTCGTTCAATTAGCACGATTGAGAGAGATCGCAGAAACTCGATGCTTTCGATTTCAGTTTGGTGTTTCGGACAAAGATTCGCTTTTCTCTGAAGCGAATCCGCAACCAGGGCCCGGCACAAGATGAGGGGACCTATGGTAAACGAATGTATTTTTCGATTTGTTATTGAATGGTGGCCAAGATTGGTAGAAGATAGAAGGTCGAACCTGGAGGTGAATGTATTTTTATTTGGAGATCTTTAGACATCCTTTCGTGCGTCGTCTAAAGTCAAAGATTAGTATGAAAGAGCATTCTCCCGAAGCTAAGAGTTTTTTGCTTGGGGCCATCTCAGGGTAGAAATCTATACAAGAAATCTTTGAATCCAGGGCAATACTGAAAAATACCCGTAGTGAGCACCTATTGACCGAGAGGTCTGTACTACCATGAATTTACATCAGTTCCCTTGTCTCCACTGTAATTCAGAGAAATTTTTGGAATGCAGAGACCGCAAACGGTAAACCAGCCCTTGAAAAATCTTCATAGTGCTTTCCAAATTTTTTACAGTTTAGCTAATTTATCTAGATGGCCCGTCCTCATTCGTCGGGACTCCAACTTTGGCCCTCCTTATTCGTCGGGGCTCCAACTTTCGACCATTCATTGCGTCTTCGGGCAATCGTCATCTTTGAACGTCTTGGGACGCGTGTGCGTTTGATGATTCTGAATTAGATTCCAACTGCGGACGCAGCTGGCTTACGCGGTCAACGAATACGTCGCATTAGCTCTTCGGTGGCCTACCACGTGGACGTTTAGAAGCTCTTTAATTCATTCCAATGTTTTTTTAGTCCATCTGTCGTCTTCTCTTCTCATTATATGTCCGGCCCATCTATGTTCGTTCTTCGATACGTACTCTGCTGGATCTTGTAGACATGAAAGTTGCCTAAGGTCAGAGCTCCAAATCCCACGTCTATACTGTTTAAACTTTGTTATCTTCGGAAGCTTCCTCTCGAGCGCCCTGTGTGCTGTTTGTAGCGCCTTCTAGTTGCTAAAGCGTCAGCCCAAATTTCGGCTGCGTAACACAGAGCTGGAAGAACTGTAGCATCAAAAAGGTGCGCGTGCGGTTCAGTGCGATGGTCTGTAGCCTCTCTCAATGATCCGAATGCTGCCCATGCTGCTCTTTGTCTTCTGCTAAGTTCGTCCTTATGTCGTTGTTCATGTTGATGGTGCGCCCTAGGTAAACATAGGATGTAGTCTCCTCTACCGGTGATCTATCCAAGGTAACTGGCTTTGCTGCACCAGTTGTTCCTCATTGCATCTTCGTCCAATTGATTTTGAGCCCTATCCTTCTACCGCTTTCACTTGACTCGTTCAACATCTCTTTGGCTTCGTTAACGGATTTCGAGAATAGAACGATATTGTCTGCGAAACGGAGATCCGAAAGGTATCATCCATCCACTCGCATCTCCTTCTCATCTCGATCGAATGAGTGCATGCACCATGTGTCGCCTTAATGGACTCCTTTTCCAGTGTGGATGCGGAGCAAGTGGTCAAACAGCTGTATCGTCTTGGTGCATCCCGTACTGCAATCCACTATTGTTCTTAGGTAGGCGTGGTCCACTCCTTGGTTG